AGACCAGCAACCTGCAAGAAACCGCATAGACAACCTTGCTAAACGCATGTCAACGTGCAGCAAACCATCCAGAAGAGCACAAGAGCCAAAGACCAGCAGCAGTGACAATCACCAAAACATCCCGCAATGTGATGAAAAAATGAATGAAAAGTAACATTTAATGCATTAAGAACTTATACTATAACTATATACAATATATACAGTATTTACATACGAGCCCTTGATCCTCCATCTGGCACTATAGGATGGTTCAGTGCCTGGGCTTCTTTCTTCGGGGCTTCTCAGGCAGCGGCTCTCCACTGATGTCCACCATTACTTGGGGAGCGATGCTGGAACCAGACCTGGTCTCCGTGATGAACACTCGTCCATCAGGCTGCTCGGTCTCCAGCAGTGCAGGCCGGTCCAGCGTCTCCCACAGCCGCTGCTTGATCTCCAAACCCCGCTGACGGCTGTAGGAACTCCCGCGCGTCTTCATGCTGGAGCCCGTCTGCACACTCTGGTAGATGCGCCGGTAGTCCTGCACACTCCGGCCGTGGATGTAGAGCGGCTCCTCTTGCTGACACTCACCCACCGAGGACACTGAGGGTGCAGGAAGGAGGACAGGCAGGACAGCCGCGTTCCTCAAGTGTCGCTCCTCCAGTGAAGTGTCAGAGATGCAGCTGTATGTGTGGTCCAGCCTGACTACCGCTGCCCGCTCCTTGGCGGAAGACACGCGCTCCAGCAGGAAGTCCTTCAGGTGTTGAGGGAGAGTCCTGGTCCTTCTGGAGCGTCGCTGATTCATCTTCGACAACTGCACAACAACTTCCCAAAGTAGACAGATTGATCAAACTTTGCCAACGGGAGATGAGTGAAGAGTTTTGCAGCGAGATGATCTGGATCGATAACTTTATAGACAGGTGTGTGGATTTTAATAATCAACTCATGTTGCCATGGTGACAGAATGGCCAGGCTCATTTAAATGTAAACACTAATTGATATCAGCGTCAAGTCAATTAGAGCAGCACCAGCTTCAGTGTTTAATTGTATTAACTACAGAAAATATCTTAATAATTATTAGTTATTATAATGATAGAGGAACTACCCCAAAATAACAAATAAATAAACAAATAAATATAGTCTCGTTTGTCTTTTTTCTTTATAATATTTTAACTTCTGAACTTGCAATTCATCAGAAATCTGGTCACGTTATTGTACATACTTTCAAAATAGCTTTATTATTTTACACTAACAATCACTTTTTACTTTTTAATTCAGAAAAAAGCACAACCAAGCTATTAACCTAATCAATAAGCCTACTATTTTTTTAAAAAAAGTTTATGGTTTTCAACAAACCTGCATTTATTTATGTGATCTAAAGCACAGCAAAAACAGTAAAAGTATTATCATCAATACTTATTAACATTTGAGGAGTTTTTTTTCAAGATTATTTGATAAAGAAAGATCCATAGACCTGCATTCATCTGAAATTAAAAGCATGTAATATTAATATTGCAAGTTATTAAGACAGAATTGAGAAATATGAACTCACAATTCTCAAAAATGAAGTCAGAATTCAGAGATAAAAAGTCACAATTCAGAGTATGAAGTCAGAATTAGGAGAAATAGTCAGTCGGAATTATAAGAAATGAAGTTGCAATTTTTAGATAAAAAGTTAACTCCTAATTAAAGTCAGAATTTTGAGAAATAAAGGCGCAATTCTGAGTTATAAAGTCATAATTTAGAATAATAACGTCATAATTCTAAGAAAGAGTCAGACTTCTTATATATATAAAGTTGTAATTCTCAGTTATAAAGTCAGAATTCAAAGTAATAAAGTCAGAATTCTGAGAAATATTCAGGACTATGAGAAATAAAATTGCAATTTTAAGATAAAAAAATCATAATTCAGAGAAATAAATCAGAATTTTTAGAAATAGGTCACACGTCTAAGTTATAAAGTCAGAATTCACTGTAATAAAACCACAATTCTGAGAAATAAATCAGAATTTTGAGAAATAAAGGCACGATTCTGAGTTATAAAGTCAAAATTCAAAGAAATAAAGTCAGAATTCTGAGAAATAAAGTTGAGATGATATAAAGTCAGAATTCTGAAATAAAAAGGCACAATTCTGAGTTTGTAATCACACAATTCTGAGATAAAATCTTTTTATTGTTATTCAGTGTCAGGAGCGAGCTTCTATATAATCTTATAATAGACCAGTGCGTAAAAAAACAATGGGTTTCCCGGCGGCGTCTTGCCTTAAATGTCAAAAGTAAAAGCAAAACATATTTCCCTCACAGTCACTATTTCTTCTGATTGTTTCATTGTTACACTGACTGGATGCACTGAGTTTAACCTTCCTCTATGCTCACAAACTAGCAGACTTCAGCACAGCACAGAGTGTGTTTAGTGTGGTGCAAGCAGGGTTTGGAGAGACAAAACAGGCAGAAAACAGAGCCAGGAGCAAAAAAGAAAACAGTCACACACAAACACATGATGCGCTTTGAGGAGAACAACTTTTGGATGTTATTTTTAAAAGAGGAGGAGCTACCCTATGCCCCACCCTCTCTTCATGTTTTAGTTAATATTTAACGTTGAATAAAGAAATGCATTTCAAAGCACTTCACGGGACCTTTAAGAACAAAATGTGTTTGTGAGGACACACATAATTAGCTCTGAAAAAATTAAGAGGAAGAAAAAAAGGATCACGAGTAATTGAGAATCATTTTAGCTTAAAGAACAGGAAAGCTTTGTCAACACGCACATGGGTGTTTTTATAAACAGTGTGCTCCTTCCTGTTGTTTTTTAAAAATCTCCGACCACATGAAAACAGCAAAACGCACTGAGATTCATGTTAAGGACACTCCAAACCAACAGGTGGAGACAGTGATACTTGTATTATGGGTTCACCCTAAACAGGGAATTAAGTATTTTCTTGAGTAAATAGCAAACAAGTCAATCCAAACATTGAGAACAGAAGTGCATAACAATCCTGCGGTGCAAACAACACAAAATACGTGATCTGTTTACTGTGAACGTGCTGAATTTGCCTCATTTGCAGCTTCAGCATTTGGTGTGAACGCAGCCATCTTGGCCAATCAGAAAGGAGAAAACCACACACACGCTGATGCCATGAGGCAAAAACTGCAGTTGTATTGTCCTTAAAGCTTTCCTGAAGTGCTTTAAATTGTGCATTTTTATTCGATGTTTAATGGAATCTTAACCGAAACATAAAGAGAGGGTGGGACACAGTGTAGCTCCACCCCTTATTTAAAACAGCCAATAGCGTTTTGTTTTGCTCTGTTAGTGAGAGTGGTTGAGATCAACTGCATCAAATGAAAAGCGTCTTGGAGGGGGCGGGGCAGGTCAGATACTAGAGAGCATCTGATTGGTTACGATTTGATGAGAAACTGTAGTTTGAGCCAATAATATCCAGCTGCAGGCCTGCAGAACCACACACAATCTGGCATACACAATCTAGGCAAACCATATATGGTTACGACGGATGTTAATGTTATTAACGTCTTCTTGGACATCTTCATCGATATATTTTCATAAATATGGTTAATAAACATTGTACACACTAAACAATGGTGTTTACTTTACGTTATTTCACAAATATTGTGATTGAGAAGCGCGAATGGGGAGTGTTGTTTCCGATTGAAATTCAATATACTAAACAGAACAGTTCTATCAGTCATCATAGATGATCGGTCATTATTATCTGACAGAGTCATTTCAGCAGATACTCGTTTGCTGGCCTTGCTAAACAATCTAAATTGGACAGATTTAATTTATATAATGGATTCATTTATAATGAAGGAAATAATAGCAAGTTAATATAGGCGATAATGCATTTTATATGTAATAAATGTATAATACTATATTAATATTTTTCTCAAGCAATTAGTGTGTATTTGCTTAATTTTCTGATAACTTGTTAAATAATGATTTCCCACATTTAATACTGTAGTAATTTAAAGTAAGCAATATATTGTTTTCAATACCAAAATTTACCAATAGAAACAAATTAACTATTAATAATCAATTTAAAGAAATAAGTAAATAAAATTATATATATATATATATATATATATATATATATATATATATTAGCTGTGACAGTTTAGTAAAAGAGTTTATAATCAGTAAATCAGTTAAGATAATCTACTTATAACTATATTATATATTGTTTAAATGATTAATTACAGAAATTCTTTTTAATGTGACATTATTGTTTGCTTTTTATATTTTACAAAGTGATTTTAACCAAGTATGATAATATTAAGATCCTGAATTAGTTTATTACACTTAATCCTACAATTAGACGGTCTATTATGGTTTCTTTGTGTATGTGGACACATGAATAAAGTCATGTGTCTTTAACCAATTATTTTTATTTACATAATTTGAGTTCAGAAACTGCAGAGATGTTAAAATGATCGTTACCATATAATAATAATGACTGAAATGGGAAACCATATCAATAGGTGGCGATAATGCTCCTAAGGAGTTAGTTAGTTACCATATACTGTATATGGTTTGCCTATATCGTGTGTGCTAGATTGTGTGTGCCTTAAACGTGTGTGGTTCTGTGTAGGGGGGGTGGGGGGGCGTTGATCCATTAAAGCGGAAGTGGCAATCTACAAGCTTTACATGTTTACTTCACTTTTATTTCTCCTAATTACAAATTTTGTAATTGTTTTGGAGCACACTAGCTCATAGATATAAAACTAACAATACTGATACTAACATCTACACAACTTTTATTTTCATTTCATGGGATCTTTAACCACACAATACTGTAGTTTGGAAAATTTTCACCCTGCCCAGAGTTTGCAGAAGGTTTCGGTTTCAGTCACCCAAAACTCCATTTTGTGTGGACAAACAGCGAGACCGTGGGTTTAAAATACCCGTGTTCATGTGGACAGGGCCTTCATGAGTATAAAAAGATGATGCTTATGTGTGTGTGGCATTGCTTGTAGTAACAAAACATGAGATAAAAGAGACAATAAAGCAATTTATCATCAACAGGGGATGTATTTAGCTTGTCATAAAACATCGCATTGTTAAAAAAAGTACAAAAAAAAAGCAAGAAGAAGAAAAATGAATCTCTCCCAATTCAGTTTCCGATATAAAACAAGTGCTAAAGAATCAGCCTTCATCAGCGAACACAAAACACAAATACACACTGGTTAATACAGGAATCAAACAGAGTTTATCCTTTAGTCAGAAGGTTTCTTTGCACATAACCGAAGTTGATGCAAAACATTAATAACTTATATTTGCTTACAATAGTTACATTTTTGGCACAACCCATTACAGTGACAATGAATGCTACAGGGAAACTGAAACAAAGGCACAGTAGAATAGAAAAATGACCTGTTGAAGGAGCTTGTGCATGTTTGTCACTTCATTAACCACACTCCTATTAAACAATTCCTGCATCCAGAAGAATATGCTTATTAATGCATACAGTGATTTGTAAACGTCATATAAATCTGCAGACATTCATAAAAAAACAAGTTATAAGATCCGTGGCATCTGTTTGCCATCCGTTTCATAAATATGAGTCCCTTGGCCGTGACATGCTCAAAATAAAAACAGAGAACAAGAAAACACTTATGATTTATAACTCTTAGAATAACATGTGAAGCCCGGAGAACTGATAACACCTTCAAGTGTTAATAAATGTTTCTAAAGTTGCTTTATAACACAATCAGAAACTGCACATAAGACTCATAAATTGCTACTTGCGTGCAAATATTATACGTATGATCCTTTTAGAGGGATAGTTCACCCACAATTCTTAAAGGGGCAGTTCACACAAAAATGAAAATGTCCTCATCGTTTACTCGCACTCAAGTGCTTCTAAACTTCAATTTCTGTCTGCTGTTGAACACAAAACAGAATATTCTGAAGAACGTGGTCATTGACAGCCTTGGTATGAAAATTCTGTCATCATCCAACACTGCAATGCTTTTCTTGCTAAGATTTTTTTGTCTTGTTTCTAGTCTAAATATCTAAATTTTCTTATATCAAGAAGCATTTCCTAGACAAGCAAAACATATCGTCTTGTTTTGAGAAATAATATGCCAATATTAGGTGAGTTTTTCCTTAAAACAAGCAAAATAATCTGCCAATGGGATAAGCAAATTAATATTGTTTTTTCTTTTGACGTAAGATTATTTTGCTTACCCCATTGGCAGATTATTTTACTTGTTTTAAGAAAAAACTCACTTAATATTGGCATATTATTTCTGAAGACAACATGTTTTGCTTGTCTAGAAAAATCTTCTTGATTTAGGAATTTATAGATATTTGGACTAGAAACAAGACAAAATATCCAAGTAACAAAAGCATTTTCTGCAGTTCTAAACCTGTCTTCTTCTGTGCTGCTTCACAAAAGCAGATGTTTTGAAGAAAGCTAAAAACCTGTAACCATTAACATCCTTAGAATTAGTTTTGCCTACTATGAAAGTCAATGGTTACCGGTTTCCAGCTTTCTTCCAAATATCTTCTTTTGTGTTCAACCGAAGAAAAAACTCAGTAAGATTTGGAACCACTTGAGTGTGTGTAAGTATTTTTGGGTGAACTATCCCTTTAAGTTATAGCACTGCATTAATGAACCCTTAAGTGTTATAAAGTGGTTATAAAGTCCATAAAGCTGAAAAGCAGAAAGGATAGCTTTGATAACAGTTGAAGAGGTGTTCGTTGGTCATCATTTGAGGAATAAACATGTGAATCTGTCAATAAGTGCACTTAAGGTGGACTTTCCACAAACACTTCCAGTTGTTCAGATACTGAGAACTGTCGGATAACTTAAAGGGGCAGTTCACACAAAAATGAAAATGTCCTCATCGTTTACTTACACTCGAGTGCTTCTAAACTTCAATTTCTTTCTTCTGTTGAGCACAAAACTAGATATTCTGAAGAGCGTAGTCATTGACATCCACAGTATGAACAAAAACTACAATGGGAGTCAATGGCAGATACTTCAGAATATCTTGTTTTGTGTCTAAACAAAAGTGTAGAACCACTTGAGTCTGATTTAGGGTTGCCACCATACTGGAATTCGGAAACAATTGATACTGAGATTTTTAAAACATCCGTTTCCCGCTAACATTTGAGCGCTGTTGAGTGCATTTTTAAACAGCACTGATTTGCCATTGTGTTCATGTGCTCAACAGAAATGACTGTGATTGGCCGTGAAGGTCATCAGTTCACCGAACTCACCGCTGTTTACTACAGATACAGGGACACTGGAGCATTTTAAAGTCATCAGATTCATCAGTGGATCGCTCAAATGTCAGCTTACAGACAATACAGCTGATCGACGTGACTTTGAAACACTCCACTGTCCCTGTATCTGTGTTTACATGCAGTAAACAGCAGTGAGTTCGGTGACCTGATGACCTTCACGGCTAATCACAGTCATTTCTGTTGAGCATGTTAACACAATGGCAAATCAGCAGTGTTTTAGAACTTTCTCCGCTCAAATGTTAGTGGGAAATGGACGTTTTTAAAATTTTAGTTTGGTACCGAATTCCAGTATTGCGACTGTAACCGTAGTCTGAGTAAACGATGAACACGTTTTACATTTTTGGGTGAACTGAACCCTTTATCTTTATCTTTATCTAACATCTGATACTAACCCTGTATTTTAAGCTCTGTAGCAATCGTTCATGTTTTTATTTTACAGCTAAGATTCCTCCAAGTCTCTCTCCAGGTATTTTTGTTTCCGGATGCAGCGTGGACACACCGGACACTGAGCCCTACAGGAGGAATGAAAGACGGTCTTGCAGACGTTACACCTGAAAGACAGAAAACACACCGTCATCATGAGGTTTATCACACTGCTGTGCTGAAAGTGACTGAATTTCCCACCGCTTTCTCATTTATATGACTCCAGTGAAGTGGAAAATGCAGACACAGCAGTCTGAAACAAACCATCGACATGTGAAAGTGGACTTTAGATGAAGAGTTCCCTTCTAGAGTAATCAACTGAAAATGTGTGTATATCAGGAACATTAAGTCAGATTTACTGAGTCGAGGTTTCTGCAGATTCTGCAAAGTCTTTTTAAGGCAATTATGAATGAAATTTCAGAGCTAAATGCTGAGGACTTATTCAAATTCTCTTCCTGATGATAAAAAAGCCACATTCTATCAATAATGTGTGAAAACAAGCAAAGCCTAATTGTATACATACATTTGTTTCATCATAACCTTTATTAAAAAAAGCCTCTGTAAAAAATTAAATGCAAGCACAACATTCTGTCCAGGTTAGCCTGCTCACCCTATATGGTCTATAAATACAAAGAGAACTCGTAAACGAATCGTAAAAAAATATTAAGATAATTATATAAGGAAGAAAATTAAACCATATTGGTTATAAAACTATTAAATTCGCTATAATAATTAATTAGAGTTTTTTTTTTTTTTAAGTTTTATTGAGCTATATTGTTGGTGATTGGGTGGGTTTTGGCCTAATTGGCTTTACATGTCAAATTAAGAACAGTGTACAAATTAAAGGAAAATTAAGACCAGTTTAAAACGATTTAGGACTCACAAGACAATATTTTAGTTATTTCAAGACGTTTTAAGGCCTAAAATTTTACATTTTAAGAGTAAGTACTCCCATATACGGTGGCTGAGAGAGCTCAAATGTGCTGCAAGTTAAGAAAATATGTGCAAATAGAAAAACACTAATAAATTGAAAGCATTTTCATCAGTTTGACAACACAAGCTAAACATGCAAATACAGAAATGCTCTGCAAATAGCACAGACCACATTTCAGGTGTGTTTGGGGACCCAAAAAAAGTGACAAAATCAATGTTGTCTGATATCTGAGATGTGAGTGTTTTGTTAATTTTAACATCCTGATCGCACATGTTCCTTGTTGATTGACAATTTGTTACCCTAATAAACTTACAAATTGCACAATTAACATGAAATGTACCACATACTCAAAAAACAGGAATCCTTTTTGCTGCAAAAGTTGTATAGTCCAAATATTAAAGCTAAAAGTTAATGTAAATCAGTATGACTTATCTGATGTTTGTTATGCTCAAAGCAATCATCTGCATGTTTCATCAATATTAAGTAAATGAATCATGTTTTAAAGGTCCATATTTTCGAATCTGTCAGGTGTTGTAGTAGTAGTGGCCACCACTGCGCATACATGTATTTTGTGAGATTTGTGACCTTACCTGGAAGTTACGTCAAACTGGAAAGGGAAGATGATGTCGGGGGCATTGCAGATCTGACATATAAAGCCTCTCTGAGTGCAAAGGTCACAGTTGTGCACATGCTTGGAGCCAAACTGAATCAAAGACTGCAGGTAAGACTCGTAGTGGCCGTCTGCTATCTGTGTGCAAAAATAATAATCATCATGATAATGATCATCACTTTAAAGGTGCAGTAGGTGATTGTCTTGAGAAACATTTTTGTTGTGCTGGTTGAAAGTCTCTTCATGGTCTAATAGTAATGATTACAGTAAATGATCTACATGTGTTTATATGTATCTTTATATTTTGGGTGAGGCATAAAACTAAAAAATGTTCATCCAGTTGAATAGAGTCGGGCCGGCATCTCCCATAATTCTGATAAATAGCTCAAACTGTCTGTCAACAAATGTAGATTTGAGCTTCTGCGCATCTGTTCATGTGCATACGAGACACATGAGATGCTGTAAAATCAAATGCAGAATCAAAACCTTTTAAAATCCTGAATCAATATTGGAGTTAGTTTTGCACGCTGGAGGGAGGACGACACCATGGCTGAAGTATTTCTGTTAGACAGGTAATGTTCTGTTTTAAAACCATTTTAGTCCCCCAAAGCTGATGTACACTTTGTTGTTACGAATGGGTTATATGCACAGAAGTGTTGCTCAGCCACTGAAATCTCCAGGTGAAAGATTAATGTGACTATTTTCAGTTTCATAAGGGACCATTTACAGCATCGATAATGTAGATTTTTATTTAGTTTAACATCAAAACATCAGTAAATAGCGCTATTCCGCTTAGCCTGCTTTACTAAGCTGAAGTTCCTTTTATATTCACATTGGTTCATTTTTGAACAATGACAGCCTTTGACGCACTCCCTATACTGTTTACCATGCTACTCTGAATATTCACTGTGTAATAGAATGTAAGTGTGGGTTAGTAATAAGTAAAATTTCTGCACGTCACAAACACTTACTACATTTCTAACTGGCAAATGACATGAACTAGTCACTAGTGGGTTGTCTGCTGTCATGTCACGATGCGCTCGCTCGCAGTTTTAGGAGGCGTGGTTTTGAAACACAGTCCCTCCCCTGCCGTCCAAAAATAATAAACTAACCGGTTAGCATTTTGCCAGATCACCTACTGGACCTTTCAGTTATAGTACTGCATTGTTGAATATCGACCAAAAAAATAGCGATACTTATAATTAGACAATATTTTATAAAATAATTTGCAGGCCATGAACCAAACACAACTATAAGGAAATTCCATTGTAAACTTTAATTTAAAGTGAAGACAAAAAGCCAAAGCTATAAGAGTGTGTATTTAATACTACAGTCCCTTGAAGAATAATGTCTGTGAAACAATGTTGAAGGTATGAATCTGGTTTCACTCCATATAAACACCTGCTTTCTCACTCTCTCTCTCTCTCTCACTCTCTCTCTCTCAAGTTTAAGTTGCTTTATTGGCATCACATTAAGTACAGTATTGCCAAAGCACTTCAAATAAGTAATATATTAAAAACATCAAAAAAAATAATAATAATACAGTAAATAAGGAATAATGACAAAAACAGAATACATTTGATAAATATAACAATAATAATAATAAAAGTTTAAATTATTTAAATAAGATACATGAATTTACATTAACCATTTCTTATGGTGTGTAGGGTGTATACTTATTTTACAGCTAGTCTAGATGTCAATTCATCCTCTCCAAGTACATGGAAAAGTTATTCATAGTCATTTAAATTAAAAAATGAATTGATCAAAGTCTCTCTCTCTCTCTCCGAATGTGCGTGCCTGTAACTAGAGAAGTGTTAAAAGATGTCGTCATGGTTCTAAAGTCAATTTGCCGGCAGCGAATTTTTGCTGGAAATTTTGAAATCTTTAACCTGCTCTACAAATTTGCACATTTACATTAGTAAAATGCACATTTTGGCTTTCATCTCTGTTTATGCCTTTCTTTGGGAAGAAATGCTAAGAAAATCTAAAACTCAAGCAGGGGAAATTTCAGAAATGTATTTGATTTGAGACAGAATGATGAAAAAGTTATTCTCATAGCTAAACGTATTTAAATGTTTAAAAAATCAAGTTCGAACCCTGTCTTCTGATCTCATCAGTAGGCATCAAACAGATTCACACGAGCAACTGCTAATGGTGAATGTGTAATGCCAAAGTGTAAGACCTCCTTTGGTCAATCTGTCTTCTGTGTAAACTGTGGAATGATTTACCTGTTAGCCTAAAATCAGAAAGTAATATAAACATTTTTATTAGTGTTCTTAAAAGGTGGCTAAAAACAAAACACAAATAGTCTGCTGTTAGTTTGTTGGAGCATGTCGCCTTTGCCTTCAGTAATTTTATGTAAAGAATTATAATGTTGTGTATATGTATTTATTATATTTCCATTTTGTCCATTTTTTTCAAGCCTCCTGTGGACAGGTGTTGAGAATTAGCAAGTTTGTTAAAACACTTAAACAAATGCATTTGGTTGTCCAGTGTAATTGTGATGTCCATGTCAAACAAATAAAAATAAAATAAATAAATAAATAACACGCATCACACACTATTGTTTCACTATAAACAACAAGAAAGAGCAAGAGGATACCTGCTGCAAGTCTAACACACTGTAGACGTCACTGTTATCCAACAAGTATGTCCTCTGCTGAAGTCTGGAAACAAAAAAGGCCATTGAATTATTAAACTTCTGCCACAATCAAATATTAAAAAACACCTTTTAAACCCATGAATCAAAACCTACATGCAGACACATGAACAAAGACACACAGACACACATTTGTTTACATTGCTTATAGGGACAGTCCATAAGCGTAATGTATTTTATACTGTGAAAAACGCAGTAAACCTGTGGTAAATTTTAAATCTCAAAAGATCTCGTTAAGTATTTTGTATTTTACAGGAACACGAGCGGTGACCCTGTAAACTACCTGAATAATGTACAGTCATACGCATGTCATTATACAGCTTTGTGTCCCTGTAAACCACATACAGACAGACAGACAGAAGGACAGACAACCCGACCGACCTGGGCTGGATCTGTTTGCTGAAGCCACTGCGGCAGAGGAGAACGTAATCTCCTAGAAAGCGAAGTCTCTGTCGGAGGTTCTGCACTTTAGCCATGATGTCAGCATGTTCAAACAGCTCAGGATTCAGAACAGCAAGGTTCAGGAGCGGCTCGTGCTCAATTTGAGTCAGCAGCTTAAAGGCTTGTCTTGAGACCTGAACAGGCAGACAGAAAAACAGACAAAGCTAAAACACTGACAGATAAAAACAGCTAATCCTGGTCTCATCTAATCTAATATGCTGTGTATGTGAGCTGAAAAATAATGTATTTTAAATCACAGAAAATCACACGTACAACCATTTAATAATAATAACAATAATAATAATAATAATAATAATAATAATAATAATAATAATAATAATTCGTTACATTTATATAGCGCTTTTCTGGGCACTCAAAGCGCTTTACACAATGGGGGGGGGGGATCTCCTCATCCACCACCAGCGTGCAGCATCCACCTGGATGACGCGATGGCAGCCATTTTGCGCCAGACCGCACACCACACACCAGCTGATTGGTGGAGAGGAGACAGAGTGATGATATGCCAATCATGATATGGGGAGGGTTAGGAGGCCATGATGGACAGAGGCCAGTGGGCAGATTTGGCCAGGATGCCGGGGTTAAACCCCTACTCTTTTTCGAAGGACATCCTGGGATTTTTAACGACCACAGAGAGTCGGGACCTCGGTTTAACCTCTCATCCGAAAGACGGCGCTCACTGAGCAGTATAGAGTCCCTGTCACTATACTGGGTCATTAGGACCCACACAGACCGCAGGTTGGGCGCCCCCTGCTGGCCTCACTAACACCACTTCCGGCAGCAACCTAGCTTTCCCAAGTGGTCTCCCATCCAGGTACTGACCGGGCGCAGCCCTGCTTAGCTTCAGTGGGCGATCATGTGAGAGTTGCAGAGAGCTAGCTGCCGGCTAAATGTTTGAGTTCTATAAAAATACATAAGAGGTGACGCAGTGGCGCAGTAGGTAGTGCTGTCGCCTCAGAGCAAGAAGGTTGTTTGGTTGCTGGTTCGAGCCTCGGCTCAGTTGCATGTTCTCCCTGAGTTTGCGTGGGTTTCCTCCAAGTGCTCCGGTTTCCCCAACAGTCCAAAGACATTTGGTACAGGAGAATTGGGTAGGCTAAATTGTCCGTAGTGTATGAGTGTGTGTGGATTTTTCCCAGAGATGGGTTGTGGCTGGAAGGGCATCCACTGCGTAAAAACGTGCTGGATAAGTTGGCGGTTCATTCCGCTGTGGTGACCCCGGATTAATAAAGGGAATAAGCCAACAAGAAAATGAATGAATAAATAAAATATACAGAAATGAGATCTCGCACATCTACTCCTGTGTTTCAACGCTACATTTTCCGCATCATTCTGATGATTATTTGTTGCTCACGATCATTTCTTATTATCCTCAAAGTTGAAATGAATGAGTGGTGCTTTGTACTTTTGTGGAAGCTGTATTTTTTCAGGGTTCTTAATGCATTTGATTTGAAACTGTAATTAATAATATTTTTTTAAAATTGAAAAGTATTTTTAATAATAATAATAATAATAATATACACATGATCACTTTTGATCAATTTAATGCACTGTGTGTTATTTTAATAATCAATATTTTCAGAGCAAAGCATACAAAAGAATAATAATAATAATAATAATTCAGCATTTTAGGTCATGAATTTTAATAAATGCCTTGCTCTTCATAAATGAACGGTTAGAAACAGTTATAAACAAATGCATATTTATTATGTACAACGCTAAACAAAACAATTCAACAACATGCATGAAACAAGTGAAGTAAGATAATAAAGAATAGGCCAGACGTGCTCACCTCGCGAGTTTTCAGGTCCCAGTTGTGCAGCATGCGGGAGGGGATGATGCTCATGTCTCCTTGATGGCAGGAATCACAGAACTGCTGACCGGAGAACTCACACAGTCTGCCTCTGCCCAGAGACACACTGATCTGACGAGAGCAACCTGCAAACATTCACAACACACTTTAGACACCGCTACACTGAAAAGCCCAGCATAAACTCGGTTCCTCAGTAAAAATCTAGCTTAAAACATCATAATATATGAATTCATTTTGCTTTCAGTTGTTGTCAATACTATTAGCCCCTTTAAGAATTATTACTTTTTTGATCGACTACCGAACAAACTACTGTTGTCCAGTCAATGACTTGGCTAATTAACCTAATGTGCCTAGTTAGCCGAAGCCTTAAATTTTACTTTATGCTCAATACTAGTATCTTACAAAATAACTAGTAAAGTATTATCCACTGTCATCACAGAAAAGACAAAATGTAACAGTTGTTAGAAACTAGTTATAATAAATTCACAGTAGGACTAATGATTATTAACTGTGTGTAAATAATATTGCCTTACCTTGTTTGAGGTCACTTATAGTCTGCTAAAAGTAATTTGCTAATTCTAATAATAATAATACACTCATTTGTATTTGTTTTTTAAACATTGCTTACAGTTTAAATCAGAACAGGAAGTTGTAGAGACTTTTATTTCAGAATGCTGATGTACACCCAACTGAATCTGAATATTGAGTAGGAGGCGGGGCTTTCTTTTGCACATCACTCCATCATCGCAACTAACAGTATAAACCCTATCATAAATCCGACGCAATAAGGTGCAAGATGTGTTTGGTGCGATTTCTTGCTATTTTAAGACCAGAGCAACTGTAAATTTCACGTTTTGCGCCACTTTGTTTAAATAACAAATCAATTTGTGCTACTTTGTGGACTCATGGGTGTTCCGGTCTTAAAAGGAAGTGTGTTAAGGCTCAGTGTTGGTGCGTTGCTATTTTTAGGAACTGAAATAAACTGAGGGAATGGGAGATGAGACTATGATTGGTTTAATGTACGTTATGCTCAAAACACACCTATAACTCATTAACAGGATAAGCACAACCCTGTTAGACCATGTGCGCGGGTGCAAACTATATCTTTCCATTCTTAAAATAGCAAAAGTGGATTCGAACACACACTTAATGCTTTTGAGCCACACGCTTTGCACCTTGATCATTAAAATAGAACCCTAAAGGCTGATTTATACTTCTTCGTCAAACGCCGGCGTAAGCTACGGCGCTGACGCATAGCCCTTCGCCGTGGCCATCGCCGTCACTGACGTGCACCTCTCAAAAAATGTAACTACACGTCGCAACAAGGCGTAGCGCAAGCTCTGTGATTGGTCGGCTTGGTAGCGCTGACAAGTCTGGGTGGGACCGAGAGCCGCGCGAATGGCGCGAGCGATTGTTTACAAGTGTGGAGTCCTGTGAATGAGCTCCGGATGGAAAGTTTTGTTTTGTGTTTACCTCATAGTTAAAGTTGTTGCATGTCCGCCGGTTCCTGTCTCAAAATGAGCGAGTTTGAGCCACTTGTACATCCCGGAAGTGTTCAGGAAAAGCAAAACAGAAGCGAAGAAACTCGACACAGAGGAACATTTACACCTCACTGCCAACTAGCGTTTCGGAAGTGTTAATGCAGACCAACAGAGACAGTGCGCAGAAGTATAAATGCACAGCTGCGCGCCTTGCCTGCACCGTGAGTTACGCCGGTCACTTGACGCAGAAGTATAAACCAGGCTTAAGAGGGACGTGGTTAAGAATCTTGATAAACAGCTGCTTTGGAAGGTTGACGTCAACAGAGGACCTCCACTCTAATTGCGAATGATCAGACTTTGATAAAAGTACATTAACTTCCACTGATTAATCAATCACCTTAACCTTCGAAAATAAACATTGAACATTTTGATTTCATGCTGACTTTAATGTTAGATACTCTCATGATTCATGCAAAGCATCTAAAAACTGGGAAAAGGTGAATAAAAACATGCCCAACCAGTCATACCTGCACATCTGTAATTCTGTGCGTCCAGTCCTCTCTCGATGGGCACAACAGACAGGTGTAACAGCAGCTCTCCGTCTCCCTTTAGTCTGTGCTGGACGAGCTTGTGGACGACTCCTCCTTGTGCACCGTCAGCAGCTGAGGCTCCCGCTCCATCATCCTCCGTCTCCAGATAGGAGTCCAGCGCTCCTCTGATCAGACTCCTCCACCCTCGTGCCTCCTCACCGCTCTCCGCCCTCAGCGTCAGCGTGTCCCGCACTGTCAAAACCTTAAAAAACGCAGGACTGCCCAGAGAAACATCAGGAACCACATCCCGGATGCTCCCAATGGGGAGTGAGAAAAGTGGTGTCTTTGAGTCTTCTCGGACCTGGAAACCTCTGAGGATCTCGAGAGAGAGTGAGAGCACCAGACACCGCCAGCCCTTCTCCTCCAAGCTCTGATAGACCACCGCCTCCTTTATGGCGTCTGGTTCTGGGTCTGTATGCCGAGTCCAATCTAACTGTGGAGGATCTGGAAGCTCAGAGATGGTGTGCTCAGGTGTTGATGGAGCTGGAGATGTGACTTCTTGATCGCTGGACGTGTGCAGCACCTCCCACTGTTCATCTCTCATAATGGGCCGTAGTTTGTTGACAGCCTCTGTGATTCGGTCCACCCAGTCCTCCGCTTCTCCTTTAGATGGCGCACGCAGGTAGATTCTTTTGTTAGGGAAGGTGAGCCGAAATCGGCCCTCGGTGCTGGAGTACAGGTGGATGTCCTCGCAGCGCAGCAGGGACAGGTTTTCGTTGCAGACGCGCTCCTCTGCATTGACGTAAAGGCGCAGCTCAAATGGCGAGAGCTCGCAGTAATAATCCCACCACATGCCCACCGCGCTGCGTCGCTCCAGCTGACCCAGCTTTAGCAAACCTCTGAACGGGTTAGGAAGACCTGACGGAGACAGAGACACACATTCACATTTTTCTAATCACACAGCTTACAATTATGCATTTGAAAGAAGCTTTATTGACCTTATACTAAAATGCGGAAGTGCGCCTGTTTTGGCGATTGTCTTCCGATTCAGTCGCCAATGGGAGAAAATGGTCAAACTACTTGCTCTACAAACAAATGTTTGCATGACTATACTGCCCAAGTAGAATAATACAATAAGAAAATATCAAATTGCATCAAGCAGCGTAATGAGCAGTTTTTAACGTCAAAAAATTAATGGAAGTGAATGAGACCGGAAGTCTCAAGCCAAAAAGATTCAAATGGCAGCGCCCGCACACGGTCAGCATTAGGTCTTATTCGCACACAGAGTCGAGCAGAGGAGCGCAGACATCTAAAGTAATCTTAACATGAGCGCTTTAATGGTCAAATAGGTGTCAAAACGCTGTGATTAGTGATTATTCATATTAACCCTCATTTGCATAATAAACAAATGAGTTGAGAATCAAGACACGTGAAAGAGAAACCATTAAAGTGACAGAGCAAAATGCTGCCGCCTGTTTTATCATTAATCAAACGACGAGAACATCCCTTACTGCTCCTGACTGAAGGATTTTTTGTAGCTAAAGTGTTTTTCTGAGGGTGAAGATGCTTAAATCACAGTTTGTTTTATATTTTTATTCTATTGTATTTATTTCTCTTTCCTTCGCAGGTTGGAGAATAACTGTATGTATATATATATATATATACACACTGTTGAAGTAAGAATTATTAGCCCTCCAGAATATTAGCAACCCTTTTCCTCCAATTTCTGTTTAATGGAAAGAAGTTTTTTTAAACTTATTTCTGAACACAATAGTTTTGATATGTCTAATTACTGATTTGTTTTATCTTTGCTATGATGACAGTACATAACATTTTACTAGATGTTTTTCAAAATACAAGCATTCAGATTAAAGTGCATTTCAAAGGCTTAACTAGAGTAATTGGGCAAGTCATTGTATAACAGTAGTTTCTTCTGCAGACAATCCAAAAATATATTGCTTAAGGGGGCTAAAAATATTGACCTTAAAATAAGTTTCAAAATATTTAAACCTGCTTTTATTCTAGCTAAAATAAAACAAATAAGACTTTCTCCAGAAGAAAAAAAATATTAAAGGAAATACTGTTAAAATTCCTTGCTCTGTTTGACATAATTTGGGAAATAGTTATTTAAAAAAAACAAAATTCTCAGGAGCGCTAATAATTTTGACTTCAACTGATAATCGTTAAGAATAATCGTGATTACAATTATGACCAAAATAATCGTGAATATGATTTTTTCCAAAATCGAGCAGCCCTAATATGGGTGTCGCTGGGATAATTAGGTAAAAATAAATGCATATTATAAGACAATGAAAGACTTTTTAACCTTGCACGCATTTCAGCATGTTGTTTGAGACCCCTAAAACCAAAATATGACCTTTTTTAATGTAAAATAGGGGCTCTTTAAAAATATCTTGCAATGTCCATGTTAAGGTGAGAATACTCTTGAGCAATGTTCTCAGCTCAAATTGTTAATATTGTGAAATATTAGACTTTTAGATACTTAAATATGTGTTAGAAAACATTGTATTGTTTAAACATCTCAATAAGGGTTATATTAGTTGCTTTCTGGAGCCAGCAGAGGCTGCTAATACACCACCCTAAAGACTGTGATAAGATTTGATCTCTGACAAGAGGAAAAATACACTTGTCATTCTCTGGCTCATCCCTCAGCGGCTGCTAGAGGGAGAAGCGTGGCAGAACTGAAACACTGTCCAGGCTCTTCACCAATCACAAACGCAATAGGACAGCTAACCAATCAAAACACAATTTAGAAGGCAGGCCTTTATAAAACCCGGAATAAGCAGAGCTACTTATGCCAGGCTGGGGAGAAAGGTGTTGTAATATTGCAAATTATGTAACAGAATTATCCTTTTAAGACCGTTCAACCTTTTTAAAACAGGGACTCCTTAAAGTGATTTGCATTTTAGCAGTTCTTGTATTTCTCAGGAATCAAATCCACCTTGTTGCTCTACTATTTGAGCTATACGGATGCAAGAGCTGTTTTTAAACTTGAGCTTGAAGTTATCAGTAACAAAGACATAGTTCATTTAAAATTGTACAGAAATATTCATGATAACATATTCATTTGTTATGTGGCTAGGGCTGTGTGATCTACATCTGGATTCATGGTGTAACTATTGTTTTTAATGAACTACTTTCTTTGAGATATAACAGAGTTTTATAGTAGGAACAAAACATACTAAGGAAGTCAATGACTATTTCCAGCATATCTCAGTAGATCTTCTTTTGTGTTGCACAGAAGAATGAAACTCAAACAGGTTTGGAACGAGTAAATAATGATGAACTATCCTTTAAAACGGTTTGCTTAAACCACATTGGCAAATTTGAAATATTCAGAGTTACAATCAAGTATGGAGAAATTTAAGATCCAATCTTAAGTCCCACTGCTATAGCATTTGGGAACAGATTTGATGTATTCTTGATACTTTTCTTATCTGGAACATTACATTTAAACAGGATTGCTTTGAATAATTAATAATTCTGTCTTTTATTATCACTATGACTTAGTTCACAGTTAATTGACAGATTAGAGCCAGATATGAAAAACATAACCATCATATCTGGCTTATTTGGCCATGACAGCAATGATCTTGCATAGAAATCATGTGGCTTTCATACCATGTGGTACACATGGAGCATTTTTAACCATTGGCAGCTTTTTTATAGGTTCTCACAGCACTTAATATCTACATGAAACCCATTAAAAGGAAGTGCAGAAATGTCTGATTGTTTTTTTTAAGGTCGTTATTCTCAAAGAAGGAAGTTATAAATACAGGCAAAATTAGAGGCAACAGAATTAGGCAGACAACATGACGTTTAACATCTTTTTTCCATCTTACCGTTGTGTCTCCGGTGCACAACACTGGGAGGAGGCTGAAGCTCGTCTGCTTCACACACAGGAGACACCTGCCCGTTCATCGGAGTGACGTCAATGATGGCATAAGCTTCAGAAATACTCAAGTCTTCGGGTTTGTGGAAATCCTCCTCTGAGATCCAAGATGTAGATTTCTGAGAGACACAAATAAAACTGTTAGGCCAGTTTTTCATCTGTTAGCATCAATCCTCTAGGTGTTGACACGAATTTGGTGAGAGTTTGAATACATATCAGGTACAGCATTCGTCATTATCCTAAGGGGAAAAAAATCCTTCAATCAACTCTGTAAATGAATCTAATCTGTTCAATTTAATTGCTAGACTACTTATTTATATATATATATATATATATATATATATATATATATATATATATATATATATATATATATATATATAAAGATGATCAATTTTGTTCAACTGTTTGGCTTGGGCCTAAGCCTAGCCTAGTTTAAAAGAGTTAAAATGATTATGAAAGTGAGACAGAGATAGATAAACTCACTGGTAGCATGACTTATGCCATTGTTAACACATTTCTAGCATGTTTTAACACACTGTTTACATGCTTCTAACATGATTTATAACACTGCCACATGCCAACATATGTTGTTAGCCTGTTTCTAAATAACATGTTTCTTTATAAATAAAATTGGCAAGAAATCATGAAATTTCCAACTGAGAGCTTACTGCAATTATTTGACAGGGGCCAATCTACATGTATTTCTGTTACGCTTTCTCACATGTCTTCAGAAAACAAGGTCACACTTTAAGCTGCAATCACACTGCACTTTTCTCCCCATAACAAGCTTACTATAGTGTGACCGCAGCATTATTTTAATGTACAATTTATGTTATTGACAAATCATTAAACTATTACTACGACTCAATAGTGCTCAATAGTCTACTAATTATTCATTCATTCATTCATTGATTTTCTTGTCGGCTTACTCCCTTTATTAATCCGGGGTCACCACAGGGGAATGAACCGCCAACTTATCCAGCAAGTTTTTACGCAGTGGATGCCCTTCCAGCCGCAACCCATCTCTGGGAAACATTCACACACACTCATACACTATGGACAATTTAGCCTACCCATTTCACCTGCACCGCATGTCTTTAGACTGTGAGGGAAACCGGAGCACCCGGAGGAAACCCACGCGAATGCAGAGAGAACATGCAAACTCCACACAGAAACGCCAACTGAGCCGAGGCTCGAACCAGCGACCCAGTGACCTTCTTGCTGTGAGGCGACAGCACTACCTACTGCGCCACTTCTTCGCCCCCAGTCTACTAATTAGCTGCTTATAAATAATTAGTAAGGTACTGCTTGGGTTTAGATGTTGGGTAGGATTAGGGATGTAATATAAGATCATACTTTAGAAAGTGCTAACAAACTGTTAACATCTTATTAATAGGCAGGTAATAAATGGTGTCAATGCTTACTTATAATAAAGTGTTACCAAAACAGACTATAATACATCTTGGGATTTAAAACAATAGTTTTTAAAAGTGTTTTGTTATCATTTTTAATACGGATTCATCATCAAAGTTGATTCCGCTCATCTGTAATGCAAGTCAAGACTGATAGAAATGAAATAATCACTCACACAGGAGGAATAGAGCGAGTCTGTGGATATTTTCCTGCTGACGCTCATTGTGGTGCGTCTGCATGCAGCATGTTGAGGTGTTTCCACTGGACTAGGAGCAGCAGACATTTCTGGAAGAACAGTGTCTTTAGGGTCAGGCAACTCCTTAGTCTCTGTTAAAGCAGAAACTGAAGGAGGATCAACAGACGAGTCTCTGCTCTCTCTCTTCTTCTCCTTCTCCACAGTCTCCGTCACAGTATTTTTAGCTTTAAGTCTTGTGCTTTTAACTATAATCTCAGATTCTTCTATTGTTTCTTCTTTCGTCTCCACTGATGTGTTCTCTACAGATTGCTCTGTGATGTGCGAGTGATGCGTGTCCTGTGCTGATGTCAGTGAGGCATCAGGTATGTGCGTGTGCTCGTTGACAGAATACGTGTCAGTCAGATTGTCTGGAGCTGGTATGAACACATCAATGTCCTCCTTCATCAGGCTCTCTCTGAAAAAAAAACAGGAGTTCACATTACTAAATTGGAATAAATTCATCATCCTATAAACAATTTTTAAGTATGGCCATCATTTTTCTGATCACAGTGACAATGAAATGCTGTTAAAATACAGAATATACAGGTTTTGGATGGTAAAGAAAATAACAATTAAATAACTGACAAAATGTGTTATTAATACTTAATAAACGGCTGAATACTCGATTCTGATTGGTCAATCATGACATTGCAAGGTGCGTTATTCTGAGATAACAACCGCTTAATTGCACAGGCTCATCTAAACAATTGGCATCACCTTGGCTATCAGTGAATATGTTCAAATCTATTTACTTACATTCACATTTATACAAGTCTGCTTGTCTGTCATGGTCTGTGTTATGGTCTTTTTGGTGCCATCTTGTGAATAAATAATACGTAGGTTTGTATACACTTTATTCAGTCAGTTTCTGTCTGCCTTGTGTTTTTGACTGTATGGCGCCATCTTGTGACTGAGTAATGCTAAAGTTAGTGTATCCTCCATCAGCTGTTTCAATTTCTGTCAGCTTTGCGCCAAAATACTGAAATATTAAACTTTTACCGCTCAGAACAATGTTATGCATCTAAATTTAATGTTTTGTCGCAAGTAGGTGGTAAGTGTGGCAAGAAATTGAAAGCTGAGATTGTAAGCTGAGAGATTACTGTATTTAACAGGAGGCAATCTAGGTTGTTTTCTGTTACGTTTTCTAACGTGTCTTCAGAAAACAGGGTCACGGTTTATTTTAACAGACAATTCACGATATCAACAAATCATTAACAAACCATGAGCTAAAATTTTGAGTTCAATGGTCTACCAGTTAGCTGCTTATAAATAATTAGTAGGGTAGTGGTTGGGTTTAGGATTAGGGATGTAAAATAAGATCATACTTTATAAGTACTGATAACAACCGCTAAACAACACAGGCTCATCTGGAAATTTGCCATCACCTTGGCTGTCAGTGAATACATTCAAATCTATATACTTACATCCACATTCATATATGTCTGCTTGTCTGTCATGCTGTGGTTAGGGTTTTTTTGGCAGCATCTTGTGAATAATACGTACATCACTGCGTACATCAATGAGGCTTTTTTAACAAACATATTCAAGTGTTGTATTTCGAAGCACAACAAAATCAGTGTATTGCTCAAGTAGGCTTCTTCTACATTCAAACACATTCATATGCTATGTTTTGAACTGCATAACAATTAGGGATGCAACGATTATATATTTTGGTTGTACGATTATAGTCTGAAGAATAATCATGGTTTCACGGTTATCACCACTATTATGCATTTATTCCATTCAAAACACTACTAGTATAGAAAAATCGCAGGAAAACTGCTTCTATTTTAAAGTGTTGTTTATTGCTGCTCAGTAACCAAATACAGCACAAAATATTAATAAAAAACAAATAACAGTCCATTTCTCTCTTTGGACTTAAAAATAAATGAAAAGGTTTTTGATTTAAACATGAGTGAAATTTTACAATGAAAATAAATGACAAAACAATGAATAAATAAAAAATAGTATTTGTCTAATGTTAATTTAAGCTATATATATTAGCTAAGAATTTAAATGAACTGTTGTTATTATCTGCAGTCAAACATCATTTCAATAATTTGCAATAATTCGTCTAACGTATCTTTTGTTTACGTTGCACTGAAAGCCACGCACAACTGTCACCGCTACAGCTTGAGATCCTTTCTACTGTGTGCACCAGGGGGGCGGGAGTGAGTCGGTCCGCTCGCGAGCCATGCGTGCACTACTTCCAATATGTGCACGTCTCCATTTGAAATAATGAACTTGCCTGCGAAAAAGACGCAATATGTGAATGGCCCGCTGCCATAGTTAATCCAGTGTGCATGCGTATAAGCTTGAAACTTTAAACTAGCACACAGTTGACATAACTTTGTTTAGCTGCAGCAGTTTTGTTCCATGCAAGAAGCCTTTACGATTAATTAACCGCAATGAAATAAAGTGCGGTTAATAATGAAAACGGCTAATCATTGCATCCCTATTAACGATATCAGTGCAGTGAACAAAACGGCCTTTTCTACAAACATACCCAAATGTTTTCGGCTGCCATTCGCTTAATGTCACTTGACTCACGCTCTGCTCAGCCTTCAACTGCAGCTTGTACTGTATTGAACAGATGCACGGCACTTCATAACTATAGCGGCAGTTTTTCGACTGAACTAAATTTATTTTTGTCGTCTTGGTCACACTATTTGGAGGGCCAGAATAAATTGCCTCGGGGGCCGGGTTCGGCCTGCAGGCCACCAATTGAATAGCCCTGGTGTACTCCAATAGCCGTTTCATTTTCCGTCAGCTTTGCACTTAAATACAGAAATTTTTAACTATTATGGCTCAGAACTTTGTTTTGTTGCAAGTAGCTGTGTAATAAGCAGAATAAAGTACATCCAGGAAGCATGTTTTCACAGAATAAAGCCCTCTTTTATACATCAGTGCTCTGCTTTTGCATCGGGCTGCCAATAAGCCTTCTGGGCTTTATTCTGCTATAAAAAATTAGGTTAAAACTGAAACATTACATTTAATAAATACTCGAGCAAGCATTGATATTGTGTGGGATTCTTTGTTTAACTCTAAAAGAAGGTAAATCTGTGCCTTTATCTTCTACTCACTCTGTAGCCATGATCTTCTGCTGTTCATTGTGGTTGATCTCGGAGTCGCAGCTCCAGCGCTCCTTCTCTGGGCTCCTGAGCTCCTGGCCTTGCAGCAGACTGTCAGAGCTCAGGCTGGAGGACAGATGCGAAGACCCCGACACGGTGTCCAGACTCAGGTTTGAGGAGGTCAGCGGAGTGCTGGGATCACAGCCATCAATCTGATCTCTCCTCGTCTCCCTCTGGAGCGATTCGGGAGTCCAATCCGAGCCTCCAGAGCCGCCGGAAGACTGGGACACCGTATCCCAGGACTCCTTGCGTTTGGGACCAAGATGCTGCTCGTCGGCAGGAGTTGGAGGGCAAAGACCTGCAAGGACCAACGGCGTGTTGGTCCATTCATTGAGCACAGCAGATTTGTAGGAAAGCTGGAAGGTCAGTGAAGCCAAGCCCTGCAGTAGGGTGAGAATCACCTCTCGGTCCTCCGGGTCCAGCAGAAGAGCCCCGGGCTGGTAGTAGGAGCTCATTTTGGAGTTTTCACGAAGCAGCGAGGTCAGGTAACACTCCAGAAGCCCGTCGTTCAGCGCCAGCCGGACCCATGCTCTGCAGCGGCCCACATCAGAGTTAATGAAGCTTAGACGTTCCAGTTCTTGAACTACATCCCTAGAGGAGAAAAAGAGTTGATAGGCTTATGATGGAACCAAATTTTCTTGTTGCATTTAATTGCTAAAGTGTTTATCATGGTATAGAGCAGTGGTTCTCAAACTTTTTTCATCAAGTACCACCTCAGAAAAAAATTGTCTCTCCAAGTACCATCAAAATGAGCAGTATTGAAATACAGTAGCGTAGTAGGCCCAGGAAAGCAGCTACAACTCTGCACAGTTAAAAAAAAACGTGGCAGATTACCTTAGAAACATAGGCTATATGTCATATGGCATATTATATAAATCATTTTTGATAAATTTTGAAATGTGTGTAGCATGTACATGACATATTTCAGTCTTCCGCGTACCACTAGAAGGAAGCCTACGCACCACTAGTGGTACACGTACCACAGTTTGAGAACCACTGGTATAGACCATTTTAATGTGGTCATGTCATTGGCCCATGATGATTTCCTGCTTGTTACCTATGTCATAACTGTAACCGTATGTTCACACCGAAAGCGGCGAGAGCATCCAAGGTCGCTCTGGCCGCCCTGGCGACAACGCTGTCTGCCTTCAGCTCCGGCGGCGAGAGCGTCAAAACTAGCTACATTGATCTCGTATTTAAAGGAGCCGTTGCAGCATATCAGTTACATTCCTGCATAAAACATGTTTCTAGCGTGAAAATGTTGCGCACTTCTTATCAAACTCATATAACAATGGAAGATCAAGTTGTGAATGATGTAGCTTTGCTCTTTTTATCCAATATGTGTCCATATGTCTGAAATATCCTGAAGCAGAATTACTGTTTTGTACTGTCACATCGCGTGAGATTCCCGCTTTTTTAAGCATTTTTAATGAACATCAGTAACTCACCATTAAGTTATTTAATGCATGTTTCTGTAAGAAAACATTGTAAATATTTGTAAATCCGGCGACTGCAATCATCAAACCCTTGGGAACAACTGTGGTCAGAACCAAAGTTCACAGGTCTGTGTTCTCTGAACTCCCATTAAGCGGTGGACGTCTTCTTTCTGATTGCTTGCCGCCGAACCGCGTCATAGCTCATTACCATAAAGTTGACTTGATTTTAACTCTACTTAATGCCCACGCCGGAGAAGACGTGCCGCGCTGCTCCTCGCCGCCGGCTCTCATTGAAAATGAATGACTTCCGGCTACTTTGACGCTCTCACTGCTTTCGGCGTGAGCGTACGGTAACACGAGGCAACTAAAACTAAAGCGTACTAGTGTAAACGGGGCCTTAGTGTACTTAGTGCATTCCTTTGTTGTATACATGTTCAGAGTAAACTAAAACAAACTGCTAAATAATTCTAAGGTAATATAGGAAACACTTTAGAATAAAGTCTCATTAGTAAATGTTAGTTAACAGATTTAGATCAACAGTGAGAACAAATACTCTTTTGGTGTGGAAGGATGTTAAAAAAAATGTATTCATCCCAAATAAGTTGTGTTCCTATAAAGCTATTATGCTTATTTATTGGCCTTTTGACTTGGAGATCAAGAGGAGTGTTGGAATTGGGTCGCCTATTCAATGAGTTAAGACAGGAATTAAAGTATTCCCAGTAAAGATTTTTATAAATTCCTACAAATTTGACACTTTTTAGTTACAGTTAAAAGAAGGTAATATACAATTTGATTTTATTGAAATACAAAAACAGTTTTTTTCTTCATGCATGCTTAAAAAAAGACCTCTGAATTATATACATTGCTGTCTAATACTGGTCATTCAACCTTTGATATGGGAATAGAATTTGAGGTCTATTTTTAGTTATGACGAGTGGATCTGCCTGCTCAAATATCTATCCCAAAAGTACTTCAATTTCGGTTTATGAACAAAATTGTAGTTGTTCTCCATAAAATATTTACCAATTGTTCCCAGCTATGTTTCAAATGTAAGTTAGACACTGGCACAGTGATGCATCTATTTTCGGATTGTGACAAAATCAAAAAGTACTGGAAAGAAATTCACAAAAATGATTCAAAAAATAATTGGAAAGACTTTTGCTTTGTTTCCAAAGGTATACCTTCTGAATTGTACATTGGAACAGTGTCTTGGTCATGAGAAAGAATGAGTATTACATTTTAGTATATACTTGGCTAAAAAAATGTATATTATTATTAATCAACTGCACAGATACCTTCAGTCAATATGTGTAGTCAGGCAATCAACACAATTGCACCACGCTGTTTAAATAGCAAATGCATTTGCACTCATATGTGCACCTATAGGCGTTCTAGTCTAAAAAAGGAGGTGTGTTAAGGTGCATTGCTGGTGCGTTGCTATTTTGAGGAACTAGAATAGACCGTTCAAAAGACCAGCTTTTATTAAAAATAAGCTCAGATTTGCCCACCTGTCAGGTTTTAGACCATATGGGGCACAGCATGTGTATCTGGAAATAACTCCGTTTTTTTGAGCACACTTTGTTATTATTGTTCATTTATTCGTTTGCTGGAAATTGAAACTGAATTTAGAAATAGTTTTGAAACAAATCTTTGAGCTTAACAAACTAAATTAATTATGTAGGCTAATATATTTCTGTTTATTCCCAAAACACACCCATAACTCATTAAGAGAATAAGCTCAACCCTGTTAGAACATGCGCCATAGCACAAAGCGTGTTTTCCTGTCTTTAAAATAGCAAAAGTGCATTCGGACAGGCCCTTAATGCTTTGCGCCATGCGCTGTGGACTTTGCGCATGGACCATCAAAATAGATCAAATTCTAAATTTGTTTTATAATCTCCTTTTATTTTTGTCTTTGCTTTGAAGCCTTTGTATGCATTTGTTAGAATGTCTAACAAAGAACTGCTGTACTTGTTGTTACGAGATACCAGTACCACTGTTGTTCTGTTGAAAAATAAATTATTAAATAATATTAAAAAAAAAAAAATGATCAAAAGAGAGAAAATCCAGATATTTTCACACTCAATGTGACAGGATTCCAGTGACAAGCAATTTAGCTGTCTGCACCAAACATGGTGACACAACAGAAACATTTATATAAGGCCCTTCAGAAGCACAGAGGATTGCACTGCACTCCCAATGAAATGGTAAAGTTTAAAATCAATACAAAACCTTATTGAACCTCTTTAACCTTAAACTGTAAAAACCTCTAAAACACGGTTCTGACTTTTACTTTCAAACCTTTTGCTAGTTATTTTGTTAAGATCTGTGGTAAACTATCTGCTTCTGCTTTCAGTATGCCAATAAATGTCACATATGTGGTGTTGAAACTCACACTGATAGCATTTAACACTGTAAAATAGTGCAAGAAACATACTAAAAGCACAATCAACAGCTGAGGTAATCTTTATTGTAGTTTTGGGACGTTTCTGTGAAAATGGTTTCTAAAAATGTAAAATTATGATAAAATGTGTTTATGGTTTAGTGACCCAAAAGTTTATCTAAAGTGAAAATTGCTTTTAAGAGTCCAAATGAACCGCACTTACATTGAGATTTTATAGATGTAAAGGTTTGCATTGTGATGTGCATCATACTGCCACACATTCCCCACACTAAACTGAAGTATAAATATGAAACTGTGTCATTATCAACGGACTTCCTCATTGACTCAACGCTCAGTAAGAAGCATAAAACTGGCCCTATGAAGCTGAACTGCACTGAGTCAAGGGCCTTAGAGAACCGAGCGAATGAGTGTCACTTGACTCTTGCCCATAGCCTTTGGAGCAAATTACTAAAGCACATGATTAAACTAATCCTACAGGCTTGTCAAAACCCTCACAGAGTCTCCCGGGCATGCCTCTCTGTTTCCAAACTGGTGACATGTTGATCATCTGGAAAGACTTTTGAGGTTTAAATTATTCTGAAGCAAAAAAAAAAGTGTAGGAATGATTTCAGAACGAGTGGCGGTATATTATAATCCATTAGGCTTATGAATGATTTATTTACTCTATACTTAATTATACTAGGCCACTATGTGTTAGTGCATTTCCTTCTGAGTATTTGCAAGATGTTTTTTCAAAAGATATTACTATAAAATGGTCGCTTTTGTCTGTTGTGATAGGTCTCGGTTTACATTGTGCACTCCTGCATTTCAATACAAACATGGCCAAATGCAACTCACCAAGACGTAGATTCCTACGGTCTATGTGTATTGGTGGTTTGTCAAGCCCACTCCCCTGCACGATATTTTAAAAATCTGATTTTGCAATTGTAACCTCGACCAGTCCTACACCCCCAAACCAAGTTGGGATCGAACCGGTGACTCTTCTCACGGGAGTCGGCTACTCTTATAAGGAGGCTGTCACTAGAGCACCTTTTGGAGGTCAGAGGAGTAAAGGAGTTTACCTGTATAGCAGTTGACTAGCTGGCCTCTGTTAGACTCACGCCCCTAATGCCAAATTCAGACTGCATGATTTTCAAAGTAGTCCAGTCACAGATGTTGTCACACTGCATGACTATCTGGGTTAGCTTTCTGTTGGTGCTGTGTTTACACTGTAGAATGGATCGGGGACAGGGGGTTTCACATTGCACGAACACATTGCATTGCTTGTCCAAACTATGTCTCACAACCAAACAAACACTAGAAGTAACATGGAAACAATGCGAGGTCATGTAATATATCTTTCGTTATTTTATCTTTTGCTTTAGAAAATGCACTTATTTTGCTCACCTGACTATTAACGAACAATTAGCATTTCTTGTTTATTTTCAACCAGAACACATTTTACACGGCATGATTTGAACCACTGACAGCCCCAGATATTTAGCATGCCAAATATCTCATGGGTGTCTGCGACCATCGGCGATTTTCTCAGTTTGCGTCGTTGATAGTTCACATTGTGTGATTGTCACTCATGTGAATGAGCACCGATTTGCTTGTAATTTCAGGCATTTGTTGGTATTTCTCAAAACCTATCGGCGAGTCCAAATTGGGGATAAAATCATGCAGTCTGAACTCGCCATAAGCCTCACTCCCATCAGGATCACGGCATCAATGCAACCCCTATAGGTCCTACAGCACCCAACCTTCTCCGAGATCGAGATCAAACCAGTGAAGCATTGATGTCGGTTGACCACGGCATCTGTCATTAGCTGGCCTCCATTACACAATATTTAGTGTTTTTGTGATATATATTGCGATATGAATAAGGGGGCGGGGCTTAAATCATTGATTTAGATTGGTTGGGGAGAATTTGTAAGGGTGTGAATCATCTATAAAAATAATAAACAAATTGCAAGCAAGAATAATTACAAAAGAGCAAAAATAAACAGTGCTTTAAGGTTTTCCGGAGAGTCAAACAGTATTCAGGTACAGACCATGAATATTTAAATGTAAAATAAAAGTGTAAAGTCTTCATTATCTTAATAATTCAGTAAAATTCTTCAACGAAGCTACAGAAAGTTAAAGTTTCAGTCTGTTATGGTTATACTTTGCAATGACTTCACAAATCTCATGTCTTCTCAATTGTTGATCAACTGTAATCCCAAATCAACATTGCGTATTCTGCAATGTGACTATTGTGGACACACACATTGATGCTGAAACGATATATTGCGCAGCCAAAGTGTGAAGCACACTAAGAATTGCACAATATGTCCAATAACCAGTGCAAACTTTCTTATCATGCACACTATTGAAACTGATTCATAGTCTCGTCTCTGGCCCACCTGTGGGTGACAGTCTTCAACAGAGCCCAGAAGACTGGCTGAGGCAGCGCTCCTCGAGATCCTCCTTTGCGCACTTGACCTCCATCAGATCGGATGAACTTACTCTTGATTCCATGGATGAAAACCGCCTCCAAAGCACAGCACAGCAGGTTTGCTTCTAGATCCTCACTGGTGACCGCCGTGTCTGTGGTGATGTAGCGCTTCTGCAGGGCTTTTAATGTATGTGCGATCTTGCCCTTGATCCACTGCAGGGTACAGAGAGAGAGAGAGAGAGAGATTTTTGAATTTTTTGCCGTATCAGCTTCTCTGGACATTTCATTGCAAAACCAGATCAAATTTACAACCTTTTATAAATGTCACTTTTCTATAATAAAAAATATAGATATAAAAAAATATCAACTGCCATAAAAAAAAACTGTCAAAAACGTTCACATTCAGGATTCACATTTTAAAATATTTCCTTTAAAGCATAGGCCTCATACTCGATTCCTGGAGGGCTGCAGCTCTGCACAGTTTTGCTCCAACCCTAATCAAACACAGCTGATCCAAACAATCAAGGTGTTCAGAACTACTAGAGACTATTAAGCAGGTGTGAGTTGGAGGTGTTTGGAGCTAAACTATGCAGAGCTGCGGCCTTTCAGGAATCAAGTTTGAAACCCATGCTTTAAAGTCTTTTTAGATAAACATCAGTGTCTGAGAACACTAAAAATAGGGCAGTCCAAAAGTGTACGTGGTACACTATGTACAGTTGCCTTGAACCGCGCTGAAGCAAGCACCTCCCGTCTCCCCTGTAGTCCTGCACTCACATTGCATCCGAGCCTGAGCACGCTTACGTCATCAATGATGCGCTGTTCAGTATAACAGCGCTCTCGCTCAGCACAGTGAAGTTTTAGTTATATAGTTTTAGTCGTTTGAACCCCACCTGAGACCGATTCAGAGCACTCACACTTCACAAACTAACGGGCAAACGTGCCTGAGCACGGTTTGGATAGCATAGTGTGAGTGCACCAATGGTTCAGTTGGCCGGCCCTGGCCCAGTTGGAAGAGGTGTGCCAGAGCGCAGTTCACTTGGGTTGGGTTTGGCTTGTAGTATTATTGCAAAACGCAACTGAGATCCGACGTCACTTTTAGGGGACTGTTTCATATAAATGTATTATTCATTCTTACTGTTCAATGAACGCAAACTCGTAGTTTATTAAAGATGCAAACCCCTCGCTGCATATCAGCTACACCTTCAGGAAACCTCCTAATACCTGCACCCCGAGGACTTTTATAATAATTTGAGTGTCAAAAGCAGCTGATCTGTTCGTGTTTGACTACGTGTCACTCAATCTCAAACAAGTCAAAATAATACAAAACGATATAACTAAAGCAATCTCCACTGTGCTGAGTGAGAGCGCTTCTCTTCATGTTAAACTGAACAGTCGAATCATCGATGATGTAAGCGTGCTCAGGACCGGTATGTAAAAACACAATGTGAGTGCTGGCCGAGGGGAAGAGGGGATGGGGGAAAAATCGCGCTTTGGCACAGTTCAAGGCAACTGTATCCTAATATGAGTGCGCCCTTAGAGTTGACATAAAGGGATAGAGCAGGGTAAACAAAACTGTAAATACCTTATGCTGCGTTCACACCAGACACGGCACGTGCATCAAGAGCAAGTGATTTACATGTTAAGTCAATGCAAGCGTGGGAATAGACAAACTGCTGCGCGATACGCGCAAATGACGCAAATGGCGCGGGGGGAATTGAGCGTTTTGTGCGTTTGACGCGCTTAACGAGCATTTCGCGCGAATCTCTCGAATTCGAAAATCTGAACTTCAGCGTACATTCGCGCCGCGTTAACCAATCAGAAGCTTGCTCTTGTGGGGGCGTGATTGTGACGTAGAACCTGTTGTCGGTCTTCCGAGGGAAATCCTCCAGCCTTCACCGACAACAGTTCATCAAACTCGGCTTGGCTCAGTCAGATGCACCGCTGAAAGCCTCCGTCATCCAGGTTAAGTTTCTGGAGGCGTTTATGAGCTCACAGAGCTGGATGCACCTCTGAAAGAATGTAGTGGACTCAGACACGACCCTAAACGTATCGACGCTGTTTTTCAGTCTTCATAAACACTGTTATTTTCTTCATAAAATCCATGTTAGCCTTTTAGCTATGAAGCTAGAGTCTTCGGGCAGACAGAAACCCTGCCCATCACGCGAATCTGCGTCTGTTCTGATGTGAATTTGACACGCGAATGAAGCGGGGTTTGACGCACGTATGAAGCGAGTAAACTCAAATGTTCACACGGCTATTTACACGCGAATAGCGCGATTTATCCGTGCGTTCCGCTTCTGGTGTGAACACAGCATTAGGCTTTTGAGATCAGCACTCAGAGATCAGCACTACACTGAACAGATAAATTCCTTTGGACTACAGGGAAATTCGACATCTTTACCTTTGTAATGCATATGTGAAGTTTTTGTGCAAGTGCGCCCTCTAGTGTCCAGTATGAATGAAACTGATATTACATTACACAACACTATTTAGCAAACAAAAATAGAAACAATACTCCTTTTCCACTAAATAGGTTTATACTAATGTCATGAAATGAATGTAAACAGCTGAAACAATGGATTTCCCCTTTGCTAACATTATTAATTCAAATGGCATTTCATTGGAAACAAGCAGACTATAGCTTTGTGTAAAGCACACGGTGCATCTACCAGAAAACACTGTGATGTATTATGAAGTCCACATCACCCATCCCTAGTGGAAATACTAGGATAGTCGATAGTTATTGATTCAATGATACAGCAAGCTGACTCCATTTCAACCAAGTCAAAATCAATAATTTAACCTTAAATACCTCTTTAGTTCAATATCTTGCACAATATTGTACTGTATCACATAAACTACTTGTACAGTCTGCCTTAGATTATGTGTTAACTCTTTATAATATATGTATCCTTACATTACAGAATGTTATCTATGTATAGGTTTACGATTGCTTTTACATTTAGTGTTGGTTTTATTAATGTTTATATATGTAACACTATAATCCTTTGAGACACAACATTTCATTCCACTTTATTTAAAACCAAAGCTTATAGGAGTGTAATTTAAGACTGGCTATCGGATAGTTGTATGATCATGACATTTAGGTCAGCAGACTGAATCTACAAAAATACAACAAAAACAAGTTGACAGAAGCAGTGGAGTAAGCTTTGTGCCGCCTCTTGAGGATCTGAAACAAGAGTGCAGAATGGACATGCCATGTGAATGTGAGCAATACCTACAGACAGACTGTCACCTGACGTCAGCTGACTGACTAGTGCATATGAGCCAAAGCACTGACAAATCAGAGTGCTAGAAATTCAGCATGGCAACCTTTTGAATAAGTCAAATGACATGTAAAACCCAGCAGTCATGAAGAAATGAGCCCAAGACGACTACAAACCAAACCACTGAGTGTGTGTTTAAGGGTTGATCATGATAAGCACAAAATCTTTGACGAATGAGGAAACTCTGACCCTGATTAGATCTAGTTGTGCATGTATAAGAGGCACAAAATGCACAGAAGAGCGTTCACTTTTCAGTTCAGTTCAGAATACACATAATATATGATCTTCAAACCTTAAAGTTAGAACTGAAATGATCACTCTCACCTTGAGTTTTCAGAGTAAATAACTTCATAAATGGCATTTTAGAACAAAAACGATTCCTGTCCACATTGGCGATTCACCTAGCATTTCTGAAAAGATCTCCGTCCACACTGTACCACTGTAAAACGCACATCACGTCACCACACACACACAAACAAGCATGCTGCAGCATATGCACACATCTGAGCTCCAGCAGTCAGCAGGTGCTTTGAGCACAAAACCCCAGAGAGCAGTGCACGTCGGACAGTTTATCAAGAATGTATTGCTGGAAGGCGTCTCACTATAGTTGTTAAACGTGTTATTTAATTAAACTGGTCTCTAACGACTCTTCTATCTTTTGAATCTATCAGGTAACGTGTCACAGCGTCAGTACAATGCTTTAATCCTTCGCCTTCACGCTGTACTTGGTAATTTTAGGGAAAATGCCGTTGGTTGATTCCTGTTGGTTGTGCACAGTGCTTAATTTGTACATTGAGTTCCCGAAACAGATCGGGCTTACAGATGCGGCATGTTACCAGAGCAGGGAGAGGTAACGGATTGTTTGGAAGTAAAGCCTGTAGAGGTGGGCGGGGACATGGTGTCGGGTTGTGTCATGGATGAAAGTGAAGAGTGGGGAGAGGTGGGGTGGTGTCACGGACGAAGGTGAAGAGCGAGGGGTGGGGGCATGGTGGCAGGTTTTGTCACGAATGAAAGTGAAGACCAGGGGGGATTGTCACAGCCGAAAATCATGCGGGGTGTGTGAGAAGCGGGACCGGTTAAATGAGGTGCCTAATCAGATTTCACAGGTGCCAGACCCGGCTTGTTCTGGCACAAATTAAACCCTGGTTGTGCACCTTTTTTACCAACCAAATTTGTTGACGCCATTGTAACGACACAGATCACTCTGCTTATTCATGTCAGAGTCCTGCGGAAAAAATGATTGACACGTGGTAATTTGTGTGTAACTTGGTTATGGGAAAAACAAACACCTTGCGCGTCAGGTAGTTGAAACGGCTGGCTACAATTAATTAATATGTTTTGAATTAATGAATTATTCATAAATAATTGATTTACCAGCGCCTATGACGATGATGCCATCGTCCATCGCATTGTTTCACATAAGATATCGTGCGATGCCAAATTGGTCGACATCACACAACACTATTGTAAGCTTAAACAAATAATCTAAAAATTAAATAAAAAAAATAAATGTGGAAAAATAGCAAATGAATTAATTTTTTTTAAAATAACAAACTGATTTATTAGATAAAAATATTTTTTTGTAAGCCGGAATAAAAAATAAATAAAGTAAAAATAAATAAATGAATAAAGGATAGAATAATAAATAAGCATAATAATAAAAGGGTAACCTATGAATTAAGAGTTTATACTCTAAAAACCTAAATTATTTATTAACTATTGGTTTATATTGCGTTTCTGTGTGGAGTTTGCATGTTCTCCCTGCTTTCGCGTGGGTTTCCTCCGGGTGCTCCGGTTTCCCCCAAAGACATGCGGTACAGGTGAATTGGGTAGTCTAAATCGTCCATAGTGTATGAGTGTGTGTGTGTGTGTGTGTGTGTGGATGTTTCCCAGAGATGGGTTGCGGCTGGAAGGGCATCCGCTGCGTAAAACTTGCTGGATAAGTTGGCAGTTCATTCCGCTGTGGCGACCCCGGATTAATAAAGGGACTAAGCCGACAAGAAAATGAATGAATGAATGAATGGCTTATTTTGCTGCTTTTATCTTCTTTTTTGAGGATGAAATGTTGTAAGGATGTATGTAATTATGCAGTAAACTTTCGCAGAAGGCGACGCATGTGTAAAAGTATATTGGGTGTGTACATTGCAGCTGATAATCAAAGATCAAAACGACTCGACTGAGGAATTGTTGTACCTTTATTAACTCAACAAGAAATTTCCATCAACAAAATTGAGGCCAGTTAAAACGCTGAGTGACTGGTTACTTTGGAAAACCACTAACCACAGCGGATAGAAAGCGAAAGTTGATGTCCAAAAACTATAAAGCTGATCATCTAATAATGTGTTAACGAAAGTGAATTAAAAAAAAAAATCAGATGTGTCCAAATACTGAATTACTGCATTAAGTATCCTTGTAGTGTAAATGCAGCAATGCAGCTTGACATAGAAGTTCTAGTAAATTAAAACTGCGTCAGTTTTTTACTGAACCTGAAGAGTTTCATTCACATAGCCTTTGTCTTGCTTTAGTTCTGTAAAAAAAAATAAAAATTAATATAAATTTTTACAGGATTGCTGATAACAGCAGGTCTTAAACATATAAAGAGGAAATAGCCAGAGAGAAAAGCATATCTCTTGTGCGGAACTTCTCAAATGAATGCAAAAGTTGTCTGGTTTCCATTCTGTATGTGTGGTCTGACAGCTTCAAGACAACATGCAAACTGAGCTATCTTTTCAACTCATTTGCATAAAAGTAACAGCGTCAAATTCCTTACAGGCTTCTGTTGGTCTCACAACGTCTTGTTGCAACCAGTTAAAACTTTTAAAATGGTATATGTAGTATCACAATGTTGACCTAAGCTGCAAAAAAGATTACCAGTTATAACAACACAGCCGTATTGTTTTATTGTATATGCATCTTCAGAGTAAACAAATGTTCATTCATTCCATTTCCTAAGGCTTAGTCCCTTTATTCATGAGGAATTGCCACAGCAGAATGAACCGCCAACTTATCCAGCATATGTTTTACACCTTCCAGCTGCAACCCAGTACTGGAAAACACCCATATACTTTCATTCACACTCATACACTATGGCCAATATAGTTTATTCATTCACCTATAGCCCATGTGTTTGGACTTTGTGTTTGTGTTTGGAAACCAAAGCACCCGGAGGAAACCCACACTAACACAGGGAGAACGTGCAAACTCCACACAGAAATGCCAACTGACCCAGCCAGGACTCGAACCAGCGACCTTCTTGCTGTGAGGCCACAGTGCTACCCACTAAGCCACCGTGTTGCCGTAAATAAATATTTCAAATAAATTAAATTGCAAAAGCATTATGAAGTACAAAAGGTAACACTTTACAATAAAGTCTCAATAGAAAAAAAAGGAAAATAGATTAAAATAAACAGCAGAAGTCAGATTTATTATAGTCACAATGTCAATATTAGTTAATGAAAACCCAACAATATTTTAATAACTATTAACTCTAATTAGAAGTTAATAGCTTAGAAAAATGATTATGAAGTGAAATCAGATTCTGACTATGATTTAAATGCGCTATTAGGCATTAGCATAACCTAAGATTAATAAAAGCTTTTGTAGTTTTTATTCTGAGTTTATGTACATATAAAAGGTCGCAGTATATTCAATCAATATTTCAGCTTGATTCATAAGCCTGATTGGCGGCGCAGTAGGTAGTGCTGTCTCACAGCAAGAAGGTGGCTGGTTCGAGCCTCGGCTGGGTCAGTTGGCATTTCTGTGTGGAGTTTGCATGTTCCCTCTGTGTCGGTGTGGGTTTCCTCCGGGTGCTCCGGTTTCCCCAACAAGTCCAAAGACATGCGGTACAGGTGAATTGGGTAGACAAAGTTGTGCGTAGTATGAGTGTGAATGAGTTTGTATGGTGTTTCCCTGCAATGGAAGGGCATTCGTTGCGTGAAACATATACTGGATAATTTGGCGGTTCATTCCACTGTGGCGACCCCAGATTAATAAAGAGAATCAGCCGAAAATAAAATAAATGAATGAACGAATAGGCCTGATAAATGTCAAAATATTAATGCTTGAAATTTTAAGACAACCCAGTCTCCAATCATGAGGCGCTGTTATGAACACCACTGCAAATACAACAAGAATGTTCTCTAAAAGCACTCTTTAAAAGTTTAAATATACAATTATTATGAAAATATAATTAATATAGAACACACAGCATTCTGAAGGTCATATGATATCAATATTGTGCATGTTTGTTATCACGATATGCAGTTGAAGTCAGATATATTAGCTCTCCTGAAAATATTTTACACCAATCCCTGTTAGACGGAAAGTTTTTTTTCAAAACATTAATAAACATAATAGTTTTAATAATTTTATAATAGTTTTAATATTTTCTAATAATTTATTTTCTTTATTTTCTTTGCTTCAAGTGACATTTAAAGGCTTTACTGAGTTATTTAGGCAAATCATCGTATAATGATGGTTTATTCTGTAAGAAAATATTAAGACAAAATGTTGAACTTAAAATGGTTTTAAGAAACGAAAAACTAGAGGAAATAAACCAAATAAGACTTTCTCCAGAAGAAAAAATATTATAGGAAATACTGTGAAAAATTCCTTGCTCTGTTAAACATCATTTGGGAAATATTTGAATGGGAAGAAAAAATAAATAAATCACAGGAGGTCTAATAATTTTGGTGTGCCTCTAATAAGCTTTTATTTTCATTAAATGACACCCAACTTCAATTTAAACTTAATAAAAGTTTCCGTGAACAGATTTAGCTTCCCGCAAGTGAACTGAGCTTTAGCTAGAACCTGCTCAGCAAGCTTTCAAGAGTTGCCATCAATGACCATGAAACGTTCCCAAATCGAAACGAAAAAGATGAGGAAGTAACAAACCTGTTTAACATCTTTAGCTTCTGGGCCGCTCTCAGGTGTTTGGGTGGCCAGCATGGCTCCTCTAGCTGTGATTATTTCCACTTCACACACTGCAAAACAGCCAGACAAATCCAAATAGAGGAAATCAGGAGAGTTGCAACATTTTGCAATTCATGCAGTGTCTAAAGACTGTAACATTCCCACATTACTTCCAAATTTCAGAAGTTTCAAAATCTATAACTTTTGCTTGATTTGGCCAAAAGAGTGCTTCTGTTTTAACCCAAAGTACAAGATATGATGAATAAAACAGGCATTTTACACAAATCTGTACATAGAGACAAAACCTTCCCTCAGAACACATACACAAAATGAAATATAAACATAAAATCAATCAACAGGTACATTAACCCTTGTGTACTGTTCAAATGTACTACTATATTATTATGTTCATGGTTGTTTCTGCCTCATTGACTTCTATTATAATGACATTTTTAATGGCAAAGTACTGTCAGCATATAATCATGCATTCGTTTTTGCTGGTTTTCCCTGTTGGGAACAGGTAAACTTGTCATTTTTACTGTTGATCATCAGTTGGCAGCATTAACCCTTTAGCCGGGCCTGTGCAAAAAAAAACTCTGACTTTCAATTGGAGTTCTACAAAGTAAATCAGCAGATTATAGTGTGTGTGTGCCTAAATACTACTATGGTTTTTGTGTTCTGAGAGCTGAGCTCCTTATCTAATTTTCTGAAACATCAAGATAAGTGTTAAAGATCTCTCCCACAAGCACATGACAAATGTCAATGTCACTATAAATGGACGTCAATGGGGCAAAAACTGCCACGAACATAATGAAAGGGTAGTACATTTGCCCAGAGTATATTGTTGAATTTTTAAAAGTTTTCAAAGCATTTTCCCAAAATACTTGTCAAAAAAATTACATTTGCTCAAACACAGAGAAAGCTGTGGTCAAACTAAAACTCAAAAGAGTGAATGAAAACATCCAAAACAGCACACAAGGTTTAAGAAATGCTTGTGCTTGGGTTCAATATTAAGATCTGCTTTCAGAGATTTGATCACAAACAGTTAACAATGACAAATCGTAGGAGAACACTTGTGTTTTACAGTCTGTGGTTCAGATTTCATCAAGGCTCTTCCCTCTCATTTCATCATGCTCTAATTCACTTTAGAGGGAGCACTCAGTGTAACACAAAGTGTTAGGTAAGTTACTTAATAATTCAGTTATCAATAAATCATGATTGGTCATTAATACTGTATTTAAAAATGCTTTTCAGATTACTTTGTCTGAAATGTAACATAATTACTCAATAAGCAATTCTGTACTCAATACTAAAACTCATAGCCATAGCTATCTAAATGTATAGCTAATAGAAATTAAACTATAATCATTCTACAAAGGACCTTTTAGTTATATGTTTAATAAAACAGTAACACTTTAAAATGTTAAACTAATATCTTTAGTTTTAATGGGTCTATATTGCGCACTGATTCTTGCATGTGCAATTGTTCAACTTTTGTTACTTAATTCTTAAAAATGCAATTAGTCAGCTAAATATGAAACAATCATAACAAGAATCAATAGCATATATTTACAGCCTTCTGATCTGCTTGGAAGATCAAGCTAGAACCAGTGAGGTTGGGTTTTGGCCAGCGATCAGGCGAAGCTTCTGTTTAGATGAATACAAGATCAAGCAAGATCATAGCAAGAAACCATTTCTCTGCTTCTCTGGCAACTGTTGAATATTCAGTATGTACAATATTTAATACAAGTATAAAGAACAATGATTAAACTACTTTGAAATGAAAAAAGAAATCCCTTTACTTTTCCAGCGGATAAGTAATTTAATAACAGTGACAAGTTATTTTATAACTAATCAATCACACTCAACACTGCACACGAGCACTGCTGAATGAACAAACATTACATCATGATGAACAAATACAAAAGCGCATGTGATGCCAACTATTTTGTGTTTTCAAATAGGCTTGATAACACATGATGGAAGTCCAGCCAGAAGAGTGTTGCAATCGTCCAGCTTGGAAATGAAGAAGGGTCTGGAAAAGAAGTTGCGCAGCTTGCTCCTCCAGAAAAGCCCTGATCTTTCTAACGCTCATTCAGTCTTTGACCTTAAATATCAGCAGGGGCCTCATGTAAGAAGACTTGCATGGAAATCATACATCATAAAACATTGCGTACGCACAAAGCTGTAAATGTGCTGAATCCAACCCATATTCTTTTGTACATCCGAATGAACGTGAAACTGAGCGCAACATGCACGAGCACAAAACCCCTCCCTGCCTCCTCCCCCGTATGAATATGCTAATGACTCTACTTTGGCAAAAACCAAAGAAAAAGCAATGGCAAAAGCAAGCAAGAAGAGAAACTTTGAACAGAATGTGAATTGGAGGTGCTGCTTTCAGAGGTAGACCGGAGGAAAACGGTGTTATTTGCAAGTTTGTTCTCTGGAATTAACAACAAAAGAAAAAAATAGAGTGGGAGAGTTTAGCTGATGCGGTCAACACAGTTGGGTCTGAACATTGCACTGTGGAGTTAAAAGAGAAATAGTGTGATTTATAGGTGTAAACTGTTGCAGTATTCTTAACAGTCTCAGTGGCGCAGCTCGTAAAACGCATGTCAACATGTTTTAGAGGATGAACTCAGTTTGAATCCAGCGTCTGATGAACTCTTTCTTCTATTTTTTCCCCGCTACATATCAGATTTTGCCTACTATTTATCACGAGAAAGACAAGTAGGAATCATTAATAAGTCTGTGCATCATATTTTATTTGCACATTTATTGAATGGAAATGTTTCTGATTCACGCATGCAAATTCATCTTCAGGTGGTGCCTTTATAGCAATGCGTGCGGTAGATCGCTCCCACTACAATGGGAAAACATGCGACCACTGCAAATTGCGTTTTTAATGTTTAGCTGGTCAAATGTATGGTATGGAAACCTTATATACCTGCTAGATGAACCCGTCTCATACAGCTGCCATTGCAAGGCTCAGACACTTTGTAGAGAGCAATTTAACAACTGCCTCTAGGAGTCGCCAATGGAAATAAAACAGACACGCACAAAAAATGTGCGTACGCCAGCCATGAAGCTAGCATAGAGCTGCGCACATTCCCACGTTCATTTCATCGATAGAAAATCCAAACGTGAGCGATTCTGAGCGTGAAACCTGGCGTACGCAAAGTTTTTGTGCGTACGCAGCGTTGATACATGAGGCCCCTGGTTAATAAAAATCCCTCACAGACAATGAATGGAAGTATGAATCCCTTGTTTGAGGCAGTGGATTTTAGATTATGGTCTTTTCAGCTGTCTGATTGCTTTTTACTATGAACATTTACACTATAAATGCAACACAATCAAATGTGTGTTTGGCTACTCTTGAAACATTTATTTGTGTTTACATATTCGTTATTCTGTATTGTCTAACATATAAATAGTAAATAGAGACTTTAGTTACTCTTTTACTTCATAAAATGGGTAACATTTTATAATAAAGTCTTATTAAATAAATAAAGATTAACTAGAGGGTAAAAATTAAAATGCTGTCATCGCTTGCTCAAGCTCATGTGTTCCCAAACCAACAAGACTACACTCCATATTGACCCAATGTTGGGTAATTTTGGCAACACACACACACATAATTTTTATAGTCCATTACTCATCTTCAGAAAACAATATGTTTTTAGTATCTAAGAGATTTTTGTACCTCCACTGCAAATCTTTTCACTAAATATATCAATATGTTACATCTTCTGAAGAGACACAATATGCTGAACAGAATTAATTTAGTCGTTGTGTTCACGAATATACCTTTATCTGTAAATATAAACAGAAGCTCCGCCTGATCAATGGCCAAAACCAAACCTTGATCTTCCAAGCCGATCAGAAGCCTGTAAGTATTGTTGATCACTGTCTACATGTAAATGAGGCCATCAATCAAATCAGTTTACCATCTTTGTTTCATTAGACGGCTCCATTAATCAGACTTGACTTTTTCTTTAACAAACCTTTTGAACTTGTTAAAACGTGTCTCGACCCTTCACAATCAATAAGCCGAGACGCTTTTTAAACATGTGGATGACATGCTATTCTGGTGGTTTTGTCAAATTATACATGAAAACCTGCTGAATTAACTGTATACTAACGAAGCAAGTTGTTAAATGGATGGTGCTAAAATCCCTGCATGTTTACATAACAAAGGAGATTTAAATAAAGCTCACAAAAACCCAATAAGCAGAAGATTAAACGTGTATATGACAAACTGACAGTCTTTGTTTAAGTGTGGAATAGTGGAAGTGATACACACATTCCTGCCAGTTTCCTCTTCAAATGGATTTCCAGTCACAAGTCAGTGAAGTACATGCACAAGTCGACATTTTCATTTCACATTTCATTAAGCATCCTTTTATGCATGACATTTACATGTGGTTTATCTGATAAAGACGTGTGCTTAAAGGAAAATTTCCTCCAAAACTGAAAATTCTGTCAGCATTTACCTACACTTCACTTTTCACTAAACTAGGGTGCGTTTCCCAAACGACATAACTCGTGGCTGAACTATCATAGTACAATGCATCATTTGGGAAACGAACAATGTAGTGACGAGTGTTTCCCAAAACCCAGTTTCTCTGTCGAAGATCCATTGTTGGAACCATGTTAACTATAACATAAAACACTCATAATGATGCTCTAAATGGTGTGGCATAACTACTTCTTTAGTGAAGAACCCCATCATTTTTTTGTGCAAGTTATATTGTTTTACACGCACACACACTTAAAAAAAGGCAATATTAGTTTTGGTAAAAAACATGCACTCGCTTTCCATAATAATTGAAAAATATGCAAATGGCACATACTGTGTTTCCCTTACTAATATTATTAGGAACATTGCATTATAAAATATATTCTAAATTAACATAAAATCACTTACAAAAGCTAACAAATATTCTAATATCATATATAAATCATATAAATAAATAAATAATGAGACGATTTCATTTATTATGAAATGAAATGTAATATTTATTACTTATTGGGAAAAGAAAAAAATCCTACTTTAATAATAATAATAATGATATTAATGATGACGATAATGCTGATGATTATTTTTAGTAAGCAGGATATTGTTTATGTATTTTTTTATTTTTTGAAAAGTCTACTTTTACAATTTGACACATGCAAACCACTGCAGAAATGTTCTAACCAGCAGGCCCGAGTCATATACAGTACAGATACTTAATAAATAACCTACTATAAATTAAAAGCATTAACGTATGCTATGTTTTTTGTTTTAATAAGCTTTGGAGACGTAATGTAAATTCAGCTTTTAATAATAGGTCACCTATAGCTTTCATCATGAGACACGACTGTGTTCAAAATGACATCAATGTTTTCAAAGTGCACAGTGAAGGGAGCACAATTGTAAACATGAAGATCGCTAAAACTAAACTGTAAAAATACTTTATTACACCTAAGAGAGACTTTAATGCTTTAAAAAAATCATTTACAAGTTTAAATGTTGTAAATGAATAGGGCATAGGAGGGATAACTGGGAATAGAACACAGCCAGGCACTATATTTCTAACTACAGCAGCAGAGGTGTAGTTACAAGCATACAAGTTTGTGAATGTTCATTTGGAACAATGGATTTGGGAAACGTCAAATCAACAAACTATGTTTGTAACGACACAACTTGTGACCTTAGTTGGCTAACAATGGTTTTCGGAAACGCACCCCTGTTTGACTTTCTACTTATGTTGAACATAATAGAAAATATTTTGAGAAATGTTTTGAAACTGTTGGCGCCCATTGACTTCCACAATATTGAATTTTCCTTAAGTCAGTGGTTATCTTTTGTGTTCAACAGAAAATAAACCGTAAAATGTTTGAAACCAGTTTAGGGAGAATGAAGCAAGTACATTTTTTTTGGTTGAATTAAACCTTTAAATAGATAAAAATGTTTGTAGTACACTTGGAATCCTGCAATTTTATTTTGGACAACTGCACTGCAAAACCTAAAAAGTTAAGATAACTCAAACTGTTTGAGGAAACCGATTGTAACAAACCATTAAAGCTCAAAAACCAACCCTATTGAGCACTGTAAACTTAATCCATTAGAGTAGTGTTCCTCAACTGGTGGGTCAGGACCCAAAAGTGGGTCATTGGAACATTTTTAGTGGGTCGCGGAGTGTGTGGTCAAAAAAACAACAACAAAAGTTAAATTTTTTACTTATTTTGCTTATACCGGACTTTTATTTTGAAATGCGTACGCAACAACCCTACCGTTTAACATGTGAAATTTCATTTAATTATTGCAACAAATATGTTGAACCGCAAGTACGACCCTGAATATGTAAAGCATGGATATATATATATATATATATATATATATATATATATATATATATATATATATATATATATATAGACGACAAAAAAGACTTAAAGCCTCAGTGTCATATGTAGTGAGGAGCATGAAACCTTCTAAATTAAAACAACCTTTAGAAACCAGAAAACATGTATGTTAAGAGTTTATTATTAACAGTATTTGTTGTTTTTACTTTGTAATATTTCTGTAATTTGATCCATTTTGTTAAATGACGGCAATAAAATAGTGTTTATTTGTAAGCCTTGGTGAATTTCTTATGATGTATCTGTCACTACTTGTTTATGTTAACAAAGAAATACAAATTAAGTATAATTCCTAAAATTGTATTACAGTTCCTAAAAATTTGGGTTGCGGCTTGATGACCATGTAAAAATGTGGGTCCCATGGCCAAACCAGTTGATAACCCCTGCATTAGAGCACAGTAAAACCCAATAAATGAAGAGAACTAAAACCAACTGAGTGCTGTAAAACCCAGTAAGTTAAGGCAACTCAAAACATTTGAGGAAACTGATTGCAACAAACCATTTACGTTAAAAAACTGATCTGTACTAAGAACTTACTCCATTTAAGTTGAAGTAATGAGATATTGAATTATCTAATTAGCATCAACACTGTGTTTAAAACTCTTTACAGATAAACAAAATTAACTTTCAGTAAATTCTGAGCTAACTACACTTATTTTATTTGATAAAGTTGGGTTTTACTGTGTGTTAATGCAAATAATCTGATATTTACTGAGCTTTAAGATAGTTAATAAAGGCTACTCTTTCACAATTTTCATAATACATTTAAAAACATTGGTTATACTGAAACTGTGATTTTTGCCATTAACAAGAGTTCAGAAACATAAATGCCTTAACACAAACCTTATTAAGGTCCATTATAACCGGTTTAGGACAGAAAACAAGATTTAGATAACTTAGAGTGGGTTTTATATTCGCACATTCACACTTTCTCCTTTATAACTTTAGAAAAGTATTATTTGCAAATTCTAAATAGAGAATTCCTATTAGCAGCCAATAGATATCAAAGTACAACATTAAGATGAGCTAAAGTCAATGAGTCAATGCTAACTTAACTGTTAATGCTAATTTAAAGTCATCCTTATGCTATTTCAGACAACATATTCAAGTTAGCGTGTTAAATAATATAGGGAGCGTGTCACAAGCTGTCGCTGATAAAAACTGAACGATTGTGTGAATATAAAACCAACTTTACCTCAATGGGCATTGCAAACATCGTTAATCCAGTGAACTCCACTCACCATGCCTGTTCTGCGTCGATGCGTCGCGGGTTCCTCTGAACTCCTACGCGCTCATCGTGCCTCTTGTGTTTTCTTTCCTCGTACTGAAGCGACGTGAGCTCGAGTCGTGTGATATCTGTCACTCGTTTGCTGATCCAGGAAAAAACAAAAGCGCAAAGGAGGTACAGATGTGAGCAGATCAGCTGACGCGAAGTGCAGCATGGGAAATGAACGCAGGGTTCATCGTGTTCCTGTTGACGAGCTGTGCGATTGCGCAAGCCGTGCGCAACATTGATTGTACTGAGACGGGGGACAGCCATCAGCACAGAGTAAAGTCTATACGGGATACAACTGCGGATACTCACATCAAAATAGCATAATTTTTGTGACACAGTACAAGAGTAATTAATATTTGTACATTATTGTGAGGATTGAGGTTGGGGTAGACGTTCATAACAAGTATTTTGGTAATTTAACAAGTATTATGAAGAATATTCGGTATAATTACTGTTTTTACACTATGTGATGGTTGGCTTTATGGTTGGACGCTACTGAAATACAGTGAAATGGGTAATTTAATAAATAAAATGTAGAATACTCGGTATAATTACTATTTTTTCATTACTGTGAAAGTTGGGATTAGGGTTGGCGTCGAGGTAGACGTTAATAAAATACAATTAATAGATTAATTAACGAATAATTCTCGTTAACTTCCGTTCGCGGTTGTATCCCTTCCAACAACCAGTCGTGACTCGTGTGGTATGTTGTGGTTGTCAAAAATGACATTGACATCTCTTGCTCTTCTTTCTGTGAAACCTCTTCTGAATCTGTTGCTCACTTGTTTTGGGAGTGTCCCACTGTTAAATCTTTTTGGTCTGATGTAAACTCTCTAATTGTCCAAAAGGTTTGTGGTGATTTTTCTTTAAGCTATCCACATGTTATTTTGGGGCTAAAAAAATAATTCCTTAATTCAACTTTTTGCATTAACCTCATTTTATTTATTGGAAAGTTTTTTATACACAAATGCAAATATACTTATTGTAAGCCTATTTTTTTATTTTTTTAAACGAGAACTAGCTCTTTATTTAAGTACCATCACAGACTCTCACAATAAGAAAGCTATTAAAACTTCTAAAATATGTGCTTTATTTAATATTCTGCAATAATTTGTTTTAGCTTTGTCATGTGCCCTTACTTATTTCTTTTTTTTCTTCTTCTTCTCTCTCTCTCTCTTGTTCTCTTTATTTTGTTTTACATATATTATATTTGTTCTAAATTTTTTACATTCCACTTTTTTCAAAAAGTCACATTTCTATTGATTGTACCATACTTTCAGTTTTGTATCTGTATTTGTTGTAATGTAATGTTATTATTGCAATAAAAAAACACTACTGCAAACATAAAAAAGATATGTTGTGGTTGTTTGCTACCCTCAAATTCACAGCAGTGTAAAAATATTAATTATTTTTTACACGGTCACAAATGCTATATTGATATATACGCAGCTGTATCTCATCTAGAATTTTACCAACGAGGCTAGATGTCCACACTGTTACATCAACCAACAACCAGCATAGTTTTACAAAGCAGTAAGTAAATTACACTAAAGAGAAAACAATTTATTTAAAAAGGTATATTAAAAAAAATTAAGCATAAGAAATTTGTTGGGATGATGTTTATTATGCAATTCTTGTGTAAAGTTGAGAATAGGCGGAATATTTCACAAAGTAACCTCAAAAGTAGCTCTGCATGCTTAAAAAGGCTAAATAAGTTAAAATAACTGAATCCTAAAAGGAAAGACTTAGAGGCAGACTGAATGCTGTCTTTATGCAGGCAGATTTAGGTTATTTATTTATTTATTTAGCGTTTGTAGTTCTCCTTAAACCTCTTCTGTTTCTTTAACTTTCTTATCGCAGAGAACAGGAACATACAAAAATGATAAGCATAAGTCATTGAAGAAACTAAGTCAAAATCAATTAAAACATAAATTTAACAGGGGATATTTCTGATTAGACTATGTGAAATGTTGCCATTAGAATAAAGGCGTGTATTATTATTACTATTATTATTATCTGTCATATTTTGCCTCGCATTGCATCATGCCGTATAGTCTTCTTATTGCGAATATAAAAATTTGCTGTAGGCTTTTTATAAAAACTTTAATGTTAAAAAAACCATTAAGCTTGCAGTCTTAGTGTTTCATTGGCTTGTTGTGGTGATTATAAATAATGTACAATTATAATTAATGAACATTCGATGATGAAATGAAATGTCATATGTGTCGTCACCGCACTGCGACGTCACTATAGCTTTCGTTTTCACATTCTCGGGCTGGGAATTCCTTTCCCACATTTTTCTACTGTAAGAGTCAAAGTTGACGCTCACACGTAAAGAAACACGCCTTTTTTAAAACCAGGAATGAGAAAACAAATAAACTAGTTTAATAAATCACCCAGAGATTACTTAAAGAATAATAAACAAACATCATGCTATATACATGCATTAATAGCCTATTGTAATGTCATAATGTTATAATACGGTTCCCAAAAAAGAGCTGAATGTTATTTTTTAAATAATAATCTACTGCATTATTATTATTATTATTATTATTATTATTATATACTAGTGGTATATAATTAGTATACAACTATTACTATTGCTATTACTTATTATTATTATTGTTAGTCATATTTCTGTTATTGTTGTTTAATTATTATAACTGTAATAATATATAGGCTATACAAAAAAGAGTAATGACAATAACAATTATTATAATGCAGGCTGATAAAAAATTAAGAATTCTTCTTCTTCTTATCATTATTATTATGATTATGCCTATTATTATTTTCTTAGCCTACCGTCATCATCATTATTGCATTATTCGTTTTTTTATTTAAATATCAATACATTGTGTACATGCAATATTTTAATTAATGATTATAATGAACCATTTACAATAAGGTTGTATTAGTTAATGTCATTCAATGTATTTACAAACATAAACAAACAATGAACATTAGACTTATTACAGTATTTTGCTAACATTATTTAATGGTAATGAAGTTGTTTATTGTTAGTTCATGTGAACTCACAGTGCATTAACTAAAGTTAACAAGCATGAGTTTGTACTTTAATTAGGCATAAGTAAATGTTGAACTGTAATTGATAAATGCTGTAAAAGACAAGTATTGTTTATTCTTAGTTTATATTAGTAAATATATTAACTAGCATAAATGAAGGCGACCTTATAGTGTGACTTCCGTTTTCCTTAAATGCTAATATTATAATATTAGGTTTATTTAAAAATATATATAAAGTAAATATTATTATTTTTGTAGGCTATATAGGAGATACAGTAGCCTATTGTATAGAAATCCCAGCTGTGCTTTCCCACAATAGCTCTTGCGCAATACATACACACCTGTGAAAGGTGCTTGGAAAGTGAAAACTCAGGGCTGAAATGCCGACACATAAAACGCGGACAGAATGCAGGAGCAAAAAATAAATCATCCAACATCAGACAACAACATACAACCAGAGCTTCAGCGAAAACCCTGCAGAATCAGCGGATCCACCTGTGGCTTTGAGCATCTATAAGCATATTCAAGCATTTATAAGAGCGGGATGAAGGTGTTTGCGGCTGCGCAGTTCTGTGTGCTCCTGTCGGTCGGTTTCAGCTCTGTGCTGGGCTGCCGCTGGGTCAAACACAGACTTCAGCATCACCACGGGGTCTCTCTGGATCTCCTCAGGAAGATGGTGAGTTTGAACAAAGGGGGTTTGAACGTTTTTTTCTGCTTAGAGTCTTTAAAGGGATAGTTCACCTAAAACTGAAAAAGGTTAACTTAAAATGTCTTCAAATCATTCTTGTTGTAAATATGCCAGACACTTTTTCAGTTCACTGAATGACATTATAGTGAGTATTTTCTGCTAATAATGGCAACAAATACTTATTTATTTTCTCTCAACATTTGATTAAACAGCTGAGCACATTCTAGTGTGAGTCTTAATGAGATTAATTCACCCAAAAACAATAATTACACATTATTTAATCTACTTAACAAACTGGTTCCAAATTGTTGAGTTTCTTTCTTCTGTTGAACACAAAAGAAGATATTTTGAAGAATGCTAGACCACGTAACACTGACCTTTATAGAAAAACTAATACAACGCAAGTACCAGAAAGTACCAGTGTTCTTCAAAATGCCTTCCTTTTTGTTCATCCAACACAGGTCTGGAACAAGTGAAGGATGAGACAATGAGATTTTGGTTTTACACTTTTGGATGAACTGTCATAAAAAACGTAAATTTCCTCTCCATTTCTTCACGCTCAGGTTGTTCTAAACTTTTATCATGTTTCCCTGTTGAACACAAAACATGCTTCCTTCAAAATGTCTTCTTTTGTGCTCAACAGAAAAAAATAAATGAATAAAAGTTTAGAACAACTTGAGTGTGAGAAAATGGTGAGAAAATTTACGATTTTGGGTGAACTGTGCCTAAATAATCCTGCAATACATCATCGAATGATTCTTCCTGTATGCCTGACATTTTAATAGACTAAAGATAGTGATCCTCTGCAAGTAATGCTAAAACATATTTATAATTTGCTCAGAAAAATTTATTATTTAGATAAAAGGGAAAACTCACGCAAAATGTAAAAAATGACTCGTTATTTACTCTCCCTCAAGGGGTTACAAATCTTTATGACTTTTTTTGCCCCTTTGAACACAAAATGTGATATTCAGAAGAAAGCTGGGAATGTTTTGTGTTCAACAGAAAACAAATAATGTTTAAAAGACATATTTATTTGCATTGCAATGTAGTAATTAATTAAGCAGCCGGACACATTGTCATGTTCGCTTTAAGCTTTTTTCTTCAGTCAGACACAAAAGAGGACAAACAGAAGAAATCTGGAGCTGTTTTGTGTTGAACAGAAAAGAAATCATAAAAGTTTAGAAGTGATTTTGAGTTTACATATTAACTTTTAAAATGTCATCAAATGATTCTTGTTGTAAATATGCCAGACGTTTTTTAATACACTGAAAGACAATAACAAAAAATATATATAAAAAAAAAAAAGTGTATTTGCTCAGAAAATGTATTAATTAATTAAACAATTAATCAATTCATTGAGCACAT